GTCTGTTCTGTCTGTTCTGTCTGTTCTGTCTGTTCTGTCTGTTCTGTCTGTTCTGCCTGTTCTGTCTGTTCTGTCTGCTCGGACTGATCAAAAGACACTGTTTCTGGTTTTTTTTTCTTCGGTGGGCTGTCTATATTATCTTGGTTGGTATAATGGCCTCTTTCTGGGTCAACTGGGGACGCTGCCAGAGGTATTGACGGGCCGTCTATGGGTTCTTGGGGATCGGTATCAGATCTGCCTTCTGGGTTTGAGGTACTTTCTTGGTGACTTCTTCTGCCAATGGTCTCTGTTTCTCGTTCTCCCTCTCGTTCTGAACCGCTTCGTGCATCGTCACTGGCTCCCGACGAACTGATACCTGAGGGTGGAGCACCGAGGTTGTCCGGGTTGGACTGGGTACCATCCAGTAAAGATGGTGGAAGATCACCGAAGAAGGAAAGATAAATATCTCGTAATATAAACTGAGAGCTCAGCTGTACGCATCTTTCTGTGTGGGTATGAAGTTGATCGAGGTAGAGTGTCTTCCGGTCTTGTTTGAACGTTATGGCATACGGGATACCACAACGTTTCAGTCTAGGCGCTCTATTAACAACAAAATCAAACCATGGGTTCGGAGTACCGCCTGAATAATTGCTGATTATCTTCTCTATGCGGTCAGATGTAAAACCCAGATGCCGAGCGCACAGCGCAAGTTGATATTCAGCGTGAGGATCTGTCCGTGCCCAAAGTTCTGCTGGCCTATTTCCTTCTCCTGGTGTACCGCAGCTGATTCGCCATGCGCACAACCAGATCTGGCGATATGCCAACTCAAACTGCTGTTGTTGGTCGGCCGGGACTAGTCGTTCTGCATGGTCTCCCATCTGGACGGGTACTTCCCCCCCGGCCTGGCCGTTAAAAATCATTTCTAGCTTATCTCTGATGCTCAAGTCACGTTCAGCCTTTCTTTTCCGTTTGCGATCTCGTCCATAATTTACTGGATCAAGCAGTTTTTTGATTCTTGTCGCCGCTATTCCCAAAAATAGAGCATCCTGGAAAAAAAGAGTAAGTGATGGAATTCTCCGATTGTACCTGCTAACCTTCTCCAAAAGAAAATCTCTTTCGCTTGTAGAAAACTTTCGAAATATCTCGCCTCTGAGCCTTGCACCTTCTATCTGTGCTTTATCTGAAGAGCTCACGCCCGGTGCCAGTCCTTCCAATGCCTTCACGTCCTCGCAGGTTATCTTTTCCATTTTGGAAAGATCACCTTCAGCAACTGACACGGCCCAAAAGTCACGAATATGGTTTAAGTAGTGAATAAATTCCTGATAAAATTAGCTTCAGACCGGTTAAAAGCGGGATAGGGCCATAAACATCAAAACAGCGATCCGCTAGGCGCTTGTTCCATACTGAAAGTATAGCACCACTGAACATCACAGCTGGTATATCAAGTAAGCTATCGAACGATACCAATAGCTTATTATAACTCTCCAGCATATTGATTCGGTCAATCACGCAGTCACTCAGTTGGGCTCTCCATCTTGCTCCAGCAGTCAAGTCGGACTTTGCTTCACAGCGGCGAATGTTTGTGTATATCTCACCTACAGGTTTTATATTTTCGTGTTGGTATTTTTCGGTCTGAGCTCTTTGTAGATCGTCTGAGATATCTATTGGAAGCCTTAAGTCCATATATTCAATAATAAGTGGCTTTACTCGGCGCTTACTGTCTAGGTATATATCCACTACCCACCATCGGATGGGAGGGTACATACTCCGAGCGGCTTGAACCCGGTGTTTTCCATGGAGACAAGATAACTGCCGGTCACTAAATCTTAATTCTGGATAGTTGGTAGGGTCGCTCTGCCGGAGTTCATCTGCTGTTACCCCACAAATCGCTAGTGCGTGTTCCAGGTCCCCAGGAGAAACCTTGACTTCCACATGGTTCTCGGGTTGGAGAGGGTAAACGCCCTTGATTTCGAAGACCCGACAGAGGTTCTCCACGTTGTCCTTGTTTAGCTCCCACTCAGGACCGATGTCTATCAGACTTAAATCGACCTTCGCAGAGCCCTGTAGAGCATGGTGTAGTTCGGTGGCCCAGCGGCTATCCGTCTCGCCGGGATAGCTCCGATGCGTCATATTCGTTGATTACTAAGAAGTTGTTTCAATACTGTGCTGTAAAGTCCAGAGTGAGCTAGTTAGGGAGGTATTATATACATAGATTCATGACTCCAGTATCTGTGATGGGCTCAGACTAGACTTAACAAAGAAGTCAGTATAGCTTGAGGCCCTAATATTCCCGGGGGCTACGTGTAAGTTAGGGTATTTCATATGTCTATGCCTTGACCAAAATATACATCTAGAGCACCAAAATGACCGAACACTTGAGGGAGGTGTTTCAATACATGATATTTCAATGTAATTTCTGATTGACTCCATGTCTATTCACCCTCCACTCTCATCCATTCCAAGAGGTCACGATTTTAAAATATAAATATGGCGGTTCCAACATCCATTCCCTCCACTTAGTCCCTGGGTCTACTACCTCTTGGATAAGCCAGCTATCCCTGTACTGCTTGCTGTCTGATCAAAAAGCGAAATGGATTCCGTGAAGAATAACAGTGATAACCTGTGCATGGACAAGGTTGGCATGAATGATGTTATTGCTCAAGAGGGATTACCTTGGAGTATATATGACAAAAATATGAACATTATGTTGGACATGTGGTTAACGATGGCTATTCATCGTGATAATGGAAAAGTATTCGCCATTCGAAGATTTCCGGAGAAAAACGCCGATCGAATCCAAAGCCGATACCAAACCCTTAATCACCCGCATCTTGTAACTGCTCTACAGATTTTTAAAACAACTGACCCCAAGGAAAACCTTCTTGTCGTCTCAGAATTTCTGCCTCTTCACCTGGGACATATAGTGGCAGATAAAATTCGTCCAAGTGACCAACAGGTTTCCTGCATTATGGGCCAGGTCACTCTTCCAGCTCCCTGCTTGGGTTTTAACTTTATACTAACTGCCAAAAGATCATAGATGCTCTTTTGTATCTTCGAAAACAAGGTCTTCACCATGATTCCTTAAAATGTTCCAGTATCCTCCTTACACTTGAAGGTGTCATAAAAATTGGTATGGACGCAAAATTACATGACTTGTGGTAGCTAAGCACTCATCGGAATAGCGGATTTCCGGGATGCCAAAATGTATCATGGTAGAAAGAATGGGCGCGATGTAAAGGCTGCTGGGTTCATAATGATGGAGGTCATGCACCAAAAGCGACCGGCTGATGGTAGGATGCACATACTTGACAGTAACCGTGGAAAGGATATTGTCAATTTTTTGGCTCAGATAGCTGCTGGCACAACGGCTGCTGAGCTTATTCGGGTAAGGATCCAATCTCACAGCCAAGTACTCAGAAATAACACAACTCAGCATCCTTTCCTCTCCTTTCCGAACGGGACCCCTAAATGGTCACCGACTCAACTATGCGGCCTAGTATTGAAAACGATGTACTCTGCTCAGGTGGACTATGCCAGAGCAAAGGACAGATAAGCCTAGTCTCCTTTGATACAGTACATTGTTGTTGACTGCGGTAAGTGTAGTGATAAGCACTCGGAGGCAGCCTGCAAGAGAGGAATCGGTCTTCCCTTTTTTGGAGGTAGTGGGTTCGAATCCCGTCGCCGGCACCACATGTACAATACCACCACAATGTAATTCTTTCCCACAATGGTACGCAAGCCTCCCTCTTATTGCAAGGTGGGAGGAAAGGAAGCAATCACAGGCTTGCACAGCGAGGCTCTAAATTCGCCCTTATGTAGCAGAAACAGATGTATCTAGATCTAACAAGTATTAACTATAGTTAGTTTACCTGTATATCACCATTTACGCGAGGGGTCAGTGTACGAACATTGTACACACGCACACTGGACAGAAGGAAATAACGCGAGAGCGCAAATCTTTTGCGCTCTCTGCCACAATCAATGCCATGTTAAGCGATTGATATCGTCCCGTTCCCCTTAGGCCTCAAGTTCCCCATGCGACTCACTTCTGGCTTGTTGGGTTCCTGCGGCCCTAATAGGAGCCAATTTCATGCGTTGAACAGTCTTGTATCAATAGGTACAGTAGTCAGTAGTCAGCTAAAATCGCGATGAAACCGTATATGCCAGTGACATGAAATCTCCAGCCCTCATTGAACTGTTCTCTTTTCTGCTGAACAAGTATTAGACTTAGGCCTAAAACTCGATTAATAATAATAGCTGGTATGTTGGACATTCTCTAGCTCCGAGGACTCATTTCCAAAGCATGTCGCCTTGTAACTTGGATCCACATTTAAATTGAATATGTCAACCAAAATGACCACTATTTCAGAATTAGGAACGCCAGATTAGTCAGCCATCGCCACGACCATTGACCTCACTTTCCTATTTTGACTATTGATACACGTGTCAAATTGAGCAGTATTTAGTAGTGAGATAGAGATAGAGATTTAGGAACTCAGACCCTCATGCATTAATATCTTTGGCCATAGAATTACTAGCGTATTCCGAATACAATAGATGTTGACAGAATATAAATGTCCCAAGCTATGCACTAAAGGCTTATATATCTCTTTAATTTTCATTCAATAAGATATGTTCTACTGGATAGGATAGACTGTTCACAGTATTCGCAGTCTAATACAACGTCTCACCGCTTTGATTATTAAGACGCCATAGACACCTCTTTGATAATGTACTTCTAGCGTATATCTGTCTACACTGTACTGGCCCTCAACCTGAAGTGCCACGTGCCACGTGCCACCTCAGTAAATTTTTTGTATTGAGAACCTAGTAGTCGGTCTAGAAGATAACAATCATATTGCCGGTGAAGGCCAGTTTGCTGAAGACTATCAGTGATCTTTTCTGTAAGGAATTTATCTGTAAGTACCGGGTTGTTCCACCAATATGTCTGTGCAACCCGAATAGCCAACAAGGGAGGATGTTTGCCCTCTGGACCTACTAATGGATTAGCTCACCAACAATATACTGCCCTCATTTGTTCGAGGGGAAGGGAGTGTTCAACAACACCTAACAGATGAACACGAAACAATAGCTGATGTCTTCATTGTGCCAGCCCAGGGGAGATCATGCTGGATGAGTCTCCCCGACATGATCAAATTTCATCATATTCCATTTGATCAGTATAGTCGGAGGCATCTAGAAAGGGGTTCTGAAAATTTTTCAACAATATAGTTTGCCGGTCGGATTAAGTGGGCCTTGGCTCAGTACGGTACTGAGGTAATAGTATAGAATTTTGAGAGTCAGTACAGTGCAACATGTTAAACACTCGATACAAGTTCCCCAAGGTCACCTTTCGGTTGTTTTTCAACAGGGAGCCTATATTCAGTTTGCCCAGTTTAAAGCTAAGTTTCTGCAAGGCCGAATGTACTCACTCAACCTTGAAACATATGCACCCATACCATGCAGTGTTTGTTCTTGTAAATTCTTCTTGCTTTCTCATTATCGGCTTTTCCCACTATTCTCTCTTGTTAGGCTGTGCCGACAGGATGGCCGGGTTTCGAAACGTTGAACTCAACTTTTTAGTTACGTAATGGGTCAAATATTACGTAACACTTGGCTGTTGGTAGATTAGTCTTAACCCTAGCGATGTCTGAAGGTTGAACGCCGAAGCGTTCGAACAGTTGCTTGAAGGCAGAAGTTCAGCCATAAACAGTGAGTCCACATTTCTTCCGCGCTAGGAGTTAGCCTCATTTGGAGAATCCTACTGTAGGTGACACCGCTTCTATTTTTGTAGTAGGATACTAGGAGCGGAATCCAATTTAGAACACTCTTTTATGGTTTTGCTTTCCTTTTTATTCTTTGTCGTGTAAAGGGGATGTTCAACGAGTTGAGAATAATCAGTTAGCCCACATTGTGTCACACCAGCATGTAAGTGTCAAACTAGGTTAAATGGACCTATCCATGACTGATGATATTTCAGAATGTTAGCCACCCATGTTTGCAGACATCACAATATACTGATATGCCATAATAGCTGAAGAACCGTGATTTAAGGGCATTATTCAATACCTCAAAGGGAATACGGCACAATGCTACCAGGACTCTCTTTTGACGAATCGAAATATATTCTGCACCGTGCAACTCCCCGAGTCCCTGAACGGAAGGCCCCTACCAGCAACGAGGATTTTCCAGATCTTAGGCGAGTGGCGACCACTTGTTCGAGAGATATACATCTTTTGCTACCGAGCTGTGGAGCCTTGCATGCTAAATTTGCTGGGTCGATTCCCCAATGTGCAGCGGTGCTGGTAAGGCGTCTTGGGTTTCCTCTTCATTGTTATGCGTCTATCAATACCAATGATAACCATTAGTTTTGATGGCCGCAGAAACGACGAGAACTCAGATAATTTAAAGCAGCAGATTATTGAGCAGCCAGCCCTTCGACAGTGGTTTCTTTTAAACACTATTCTTGGTTCCTGGCCACTCTTGCCATCATTCCAGTCGCTGAAGACACTTGATATACAGGGTATTTCAAGTGGTGCTCTAGTAGTACCCGTCATGCCGGCTCTTGTGGATCTGCACATTGGTTTTGATTATTGCTTTTATGACAATGGGAAAGACGCGTGGGACTACGCTGTTCTTGTGGACTTTTCCAGGCTACCGTGACTTTCCAAACTGGCCATTTCTAGCTACATGTACCACGTTGGTAACTTAATTTTCCATGGGAAACCAGTATCTCTAAAGACCTTGGAAGTAATGCTTTCAGAAGGTGAGTTGAGCGATAGGTTGAGCAATATTCTCCGAGATATTGGAGCAGGCCTGGAAGTTATTAGTGTCAACTCGGGGGGCATTTGTTGGGACCTAGATGTCGAGCTATCTTCCATCAAAAGTACAGTATCCATTTGTTGGGATCAGCCGGATTTCTCCTTTTTCTGCTCTTGAGCAAACTCCCTACTTTAGAAGAAATTACCTGGGAACGTCCCTTCCACGGGCACCATCACTTGCATAAGGAACTCATGGCCATTCGCAGCAATTTCCCAAATGATAAAAATGATTGGGCGAGCATTGTGCAACGACCAATAGTAACAGGTATCTAACTCTATTTTTGGATTTGGCGAGACGGCATCTGATCGACTACTTCGAGCGCGAATACGATTTCTATTATGATTATCAAGTTTGATTCCATGAGTTTTTGGCTATGGCAGACATTTGTGTCTATACGGCAGCCTATGCACTGCCTCTAAATAGTCCCTAGGGGCTCTATTAGCCTCTCCTATCATTTGTGTGCGTTCAATCTGAATTTTTTCCCTTACTCAAGCCGCCTATCTACGCCAGGGCCTTTGAGCTATGCTCCCCTCGGTGTTCATTACATAGTGGGCGCTGTCTGAGCGTGTCTACATTGCCCTTTCTATGCAGTTGCAAAAGTCAGTTTCTGGACACTGTACAACACATTTTCTGATCAGGTTACTAATAAATACTACTACTTTGTGATGTAAGCAAGGCCTAACCTCTTTAATAATAGCTTCCATGTTTAGAGCGAATCGAAGAACGTAGGGTCCGGAACATAGGTTTACAGGCGTATCACAATGCGAGAGCCAATGATTCTATCGCTACAATATTGGTGGATAGCGCCTAGCTGATGCACGGGACCATCCCCGCAAGAAATGGACTCTGATCCATCTATTAAGCCGTCACGATTACCCGATTCGCTATGTCCTTCAGGAAAACTTATCTCAAATTGCGGCGTCCTGTACCCTTCTGTTCAATGCCTTCACCCATTCTATGCAATATTGTTTGCCGCTTCTTGGCTTACAAACAATCTTACATCAAGTTGAACGAGATAGCTTCTCGTCCTCATATCAACTTTGTCTCAGCATCTCCTCATTTCCTATAGTAGTTCCATTTTGTGGCTTTATTAATTTATGGCGAATAAAAATGGAGGAAGTAGACATGAAAGTGTGTTTTACGTAGGTGCACTATCGGCTGGTTTCTTATATTGTCCTGCTAGCTGGTAGTTCATAAATCTGCTGTAGACTGTTGTGCAGACGCGCTTCAGCTTTCGCAGCTGCACAGCCTGTCCACCATCGGGAGCAGGTACCCATGGAGGGATATGTCACTGGGTCTCGATAATGATCATAGTTGTATGCCGAGGAACGACGACCGTTGCAACGCTCGCACCGAAGAGGCCCGGCTGTTATCCTCGTTTCAGTCGCTGGATAGAAAGGCTGGCCCCGTTCAATTGGCACAGCTGGTAACCTCGTGATGCTCTTTTGGTATTCCTGTGTCTCCCAGGTAGTCGAACCAGTTTCGTCTGCAGCACTGGCAGCGGCATCTGAAGGAAGCAGAGATTTGTGCCTGAATTTTTCAAGTTAACGTATTATCAAAAACGTGCAGGAAGTGGCAGATTATACCTGCGCCGAACCCATAGCCATATGCCATAAAAGAAGTGCATTGCTTAGGACAGTCGGGACGATGAATCAGCACGTAAAGTCGGCCTCTAACACAAAGTAAATTTTGCTCAGAATTGAAAGTAGGGATTTTCGTTTCAGGTACAACTATGGCCACAAATATATTCTAAGATATAGAATAGCAGACAAAGGCGCTTCATGGTAAAGCGTCCTAAGTTGTCTTAGATATCTGGCCAGGCTGATAGATCATCGGCGAGGTTAATGCTCTTACATCTGACTGGAAAGTATATGTAGCTTTGCTCGGTCACCCATGGAGCCTGAAAGGTCGACACTTTTGCTGTGCAACAAACAGTGATTTAGTTAACACAGATATGAGATACTTTGAAGGCTGGGTCGTTAAGCTGGACTTGTCCTGCTCAACTTCACCTATCGCACGTAAAACAATATGGCTTCAGCTCAGTATTACGCCTAATATTAGGACTTAAGGTCCCTAGAGCTCGACGTTCAGGCATAGTTCTAGGTGGTTGAAAACATGAAGTTGTTTGACATGTTGTTTACATTTACAGTGTTTATGCGCGCACGGGAACTAACTAGGTCTGATTACTCAGACTTTCTGCCCAGTAACTACTAGTTATAGTACGAAAACCAGCCGGGGTTTCAGCAGGCGCTAAAAATAGAGTTCTGATCATATTAACCAGTTTCTCGTCCAGGCTTCGTCCCAATTTACTACCCTCTCTGCTTTCTTCAAGCGCCTCAATCATCTACGTGCCTTAAAAGAAAACCATGTCGATTATTCTGTACCCGGCTTAACTACTGATTGACCGCAACCTGACTGGGTGGGGATTTCCCCTCACACTGTATCACTGCCATAAGGATTTTGATGAACATACCCCTCAACAAAGGGTTTCATTTTCACGTGTTAGCTGAATTGTGTCCATCGAGAGTCTGTCCGCTGGAAAGGACACGCTCAGGTTGGTCAAAGAAGGCGAGTGCAACGCAGATTTACGCGATGCATACCTTCCATTTCAGTTCCGACTCTTGTTCCTATCATCTTGTCTCTATGGACTAATTCGGATGTGATGAACAAAGAGGATCTGGAAGAATGTGCTGGTCACCCTATGGAACCACACCTTCTCAAATTACCAAATCTCATCATGATCAGCAATACACTACAGTTCCAAACCAGCACCGCTGCACCAGGGTCTTCTATAGCTCGTGATGCACGTGCCAAAAGTCGCTAATTCGCTTTGGCATGGGTTTTGGTAAGTTTAATACAGGTGCTGCAGTCCTGTACACTAGACCTCTCTATTACAAGCGCCACGTGGCCCCAGGATCTCCCTTCTTTCGGTGTGAATCCGTCAATCATGTTCGTACCTTGAAATTATCCACGAGCAAAGATGGCAGCTAGAATCTTGCACTTCCTGTATATTGTGCGTATGAACAAGCACAAGAGCCAGAGCGGAGAGCTCAGTGCCAGAATAACTGATACAGCATTATCGTCCGCAGGATACGAGAGGCTAGTGTCTTCCAGGAGTACTGAGCGCTGAATCTTCCGTACTTTCTCTTCATGTTCCAGGAGACTGCGTAGGCGATTGAGCTGCGTCAATCGCAGCTGTCGCATACGGCGATGATTTTGGTCTAGTATGTGCAGCTTTTGAGCTCTCATCTCTTCTTCTCTTGCTTTGATTTGTTGTCTCCTATCCAATTTACGCTGCTGGGCTTCTATGAATCTTTCTAATTCTTCCTGTCGACTCTCATTCGTAGAGGCTTTGCGTTTACGGTTAGGTCGCGTGCTTTCTAGCTGATAGTTAAGGCTCCCTAGTATTCGATGGCGCTGCGAGAGTAGAGGCTCCGTACCGCATGCAAGGAGGATAGTCTCCGTTTTGTAGGCGTCGCCTCCCGGACTGGATTCGCTCGGGGTAGATGTATAAGGATAAGGGCACCACGCAATCTGAGTGTGTTCAGCAGCATAGATCCCCAATTTCGCTGATATTCATACCTCACGGACGTTACTGTATGCAGCTACTGTCCTGATGGCAGATTCGAATAATTCACATAGTTCGTCCCTCACCCCTTTCAGTGAGCATAGTTTTCTCTCATTTACTGACTGGTGGTGAACCATGGTATTTCGAATCTCCTTCGCTTTTCGAAGCCATTTTTTTAAACATTTCGAGGTTGTGGCACCCAATACCCTTCGTAGTATTCCAGTCTCTGCAACACATGATGCTTGGAGTACATCTACTATCGCAGGAAAGTCTGCGGCCTGATGCCAGTGGAACCCATTTGCTTCAAGGCCCCGAGGATCAGTGAGCTCTGCAAGGATGAGCCCTAGAAACTCTAAATCATCGTTCCAGGTGGACAGTTGTGCATGAGATTGAATCTAAGAGGCTGCCAGCTAAGAAGACATCTTGGGGTGAGATGGGGTTTTTGGTATATTAGTTGTACCTATGTAGTAGGTATTAGGGCGATGGATGTTGCACGGTTAACTATACATGATTTAAGTCTGAGCTTAACACTGATATTTCAGTTTGATATCCCGTCATGCTGAGGCCATGACTCGCGTGCGAAGAATCCTAGGTCTGGATGCCACCGTTAACATTTGCGGCACCGGACCGCAAGTGCTCCCGCGAAGAATCCTCGGGACGACTTGAAATAATTCTTGAGCGTGTGAGATATGACCGTTTTGACTACATCATTCGAATCACCAAGCTAGGGAGTCCAATTCCTGTTGAAGTCATTATTAAGGGCAGAAACCACAGTACCCCTGACCTAGATCTTCGATGTTGTATGAATGTGGCATCCTCCTGAGCGGTAGTAGAGGTTGAAACTGGCGCCAGTTGTTTTACTGTACACAAAGTCAAAAGCAGCGCCACCACCTTCAAGGATTATTTCTTCTATCAAACCATAATTCAACAAGCACTAGTACTTATTAGGAAGGCAAACGGAATAGTAAAATTTTCCCTTAAATTACACTAGAAGGCGCGCGCTGATGCACGCTGCGGGCCCTGAAACGATGAGGTAGATAAGGTGAGATCGAGAATCGATCTATCAACAGCTATGTATGAAAATTGATGCTCTCATTCTTAGAGGAACTTTTGAGACCAAGGTACCAAGGACCACAAGAGTGGATGCCAAGACGGGTATTACGGCCGACTACAACAGCCACTTTGGCGTTACGCAGTTGTCGGCAGACTTTAAAATTTTGGAGGTTCCCCCCTTTTTCCGGGCCGACGATCATTCAGCGGAGTGCTGCCACAAAAAGGGAATACTAATATAAATAAATTCTCAGTAATAAACAAAGATTTATTTTCTATTGAAAAGCTTGTACAGAAATTTCCCTCCGGCGTGGTCTGGATATTTCTGAGTCTTTGGAATTTCCAGCAAACGCTGTAGGACCATGGGGCAATTCAGGCTGAAGAGTGTTGGTTCCAGTGTTGAAGCGGGGAAGGGAAATCAGATTGTTAGACGCCATACATGTTTTAGAATGGTCAGGACCAGTGCCTTTTCATAGCCTGTCAGTGCGCGTCGATACAACACCTCTGCCTGCTTCAGCTTGCCTTGATCAGAGTAGAGACTGCCTAGACTATACCTAAAAGACCCTCCAATAGGTGCCGTGTCATCTGTATAATAATATGCCTTCCTTTGCAGCAGATGATTTGCATGTGGAAGTAGCCGCTGTTGGTGTTTTGCGTAGCTTTCCTCTTGCTGTTTAGTTTCAATGAAGGAAAACCCAAGAAGAGTCTTGATCCGTGCCTTAAAAGCAAGCTTATTTTTAACAGGTGTTTCGAACCAATCTGGAATATTTGAGCAATTACGACCACATTCGATCATCTTGTACCAAATATCTCGGTTATTGAAGCACGCAAGGAAAAGTAGCAGTGTTGCAGCAGTTGTATCACGTTTTTGGACTTCACGGTATGAGATCATCCATGTCTTAAGTATATTCCCTTGCTGATAGTGACGCATAGCCTCTGACTAAGACTATAGGTCAACCCAGGAATCCATATAATACTGTAGGTACTCCTTGATACCGGTGCCGATCTCGCGCATGAATGCACCGGCGATGACAATTGCCAGTGGCAACTCATCTAACCGGTTAGTAAGGTCAGCTACCTCTATATATATATTAGTTCCATTTCTCCAATTTATCTACTGACTCAGTACCTTGATCAGGCTCTTTCTCTATAGTACCGCCAGCTGAGAGGCCACTACTCAGCAGTAAGAGCTGAATGGCTATCAGCAGCGTAGTATATGAACAATACTGCGGTCCACAGCGCTACCAAGGTAACATCTTCCCATATGTTAGTGGGCTTCACATCAAATCTGCGGATTGATATCGATAACGGATTACCGCATGTGAAAGCTCTGGAAGCAAAAGAGAGAGCCAAAGAGCTCCAGCGGGTACGCCATATAGCAAAGAATGTGCTTGAGAAAGCTAAGACCGCAATGGCGACGCAGTACAATAAACATCACATAGATATGCGGTTCAGGATAGGGGATGAAGTACTGGTGCGGGCAAAGAATATCTCCACCGTACGATCGAATGCCAAATTAGATCACCGTCAGTTAGGACCGTTCACAATCATTGATGCATAGGGAACGCAGTCTTATAAACTGAGGCTACCACCACGATACCGCCGCTTACACCCCGTTTTCCACGTCTCATTACTAGAACCATACCACCAATGGAAAGGTCAGAAGATGCGGCCACCGCCCATCCCGATCGATGGAGAGGAAGAGTGGGAGGTGGAACGCATCTTAGCAGAAAAACGCACCCAGGATGGGGAAAACGCTATATCTAGTCCGATGGGCGGGATATACACCCATAGATGACACCTGGGAACCATTAGAGCATGTGCAAGAAACCCAAGCGCTTGATGGATATCAGCGCAAGAAAGGGAAAGACTAACCGCACCTAGAGCACTGATATCTGTAGTGGAGCCTAAAACCTCTACAAGGGCCTACGAAACTATGACAATGCGGACACGGCTCACCGAGCAGCGGAAATAAATTGCATTAAAAAAAAAACCCCCTACCCCCTACGCCCGCAGGTCAGCTCCAGCGGAGTCCGCTCGGCGGAAGAGGACTCACTTGAAGGGAGAAATGAACACACCCAGCATACGCTGGTAGAGAGGGCGGGGGCTCGCAGACGGTGGTGTGGAAGGGACCGGCGACCCTGAACCTAGGCCACCACCGCCGCGGCGGGCTGCACTAGGTGCCACACGTGCAGGGTGAACAGCGGCGTTGAGGGCATGAACCGCAGCTTTGAGAGCCTCCTTCGTCACAATGGCAGAGGAGTCTGCTCAAAGCGATGGCGCGCCACCAACACCGCATCTGCCTGCGTGGTGGCCTCAGGGGGTACCTGCCGCATATATCAACATCACCCAGTATCAGGGATCAGAATGAGATATCACTTACCGGTACGCAACGGTGGTGACCACTCGCACAATGTAGACAGACACGATGGCCCTCACAGACCACACAGGCAACATTTACCCCCGATGGGGCCAAACTACAGCGCCGGAGATACCGCAGGCACCACTCCCCACATTTTCAGGCAAGGGGGTGCCTGCGTCGTGTTCCGGAGATGAGGAGGCCTCATCCTCCGAAGAGGGGGCGCGAGAGATCTTCCCCGCTATCCAGTGGCGCAACAGCTTCCTCTGAAGAGGGGGCCGGGGACGGACTCGGCGAAAAGCCCCCAAAGGGAGGAGACGCAGGAGACGGGCACGGTTCGGCAGCACAACACCAGATACATTATGAACCCAACAACTATCCTTGATACCATGAAAGACATACTTTTCAATTTACGGGACGATGGCAAAAATAAGCTTAAGGCTTGCAAGGCAAAGTCCTCTGGTATTGCGACCCAACTAGCCGTTTTGGAACGGATTGAGTCGATCGCTAGACTCATACGGAGGCAACATTCTTTACCGATGAGGAGCCTAGGCCCCAATATCAAGGGTTTGTCCGAAGCTCATGAAGCTGATGGGGCGAAAGATTCTCGGTAGGATAGAATATGTCTATCACTTCATACCGTACCCTATGATAGGACAAAAACATCTGAGTTGTTCGCACGGCGCTTAGGTATATAGAAAGATAGAGGTAAGATGGAGGTAGGATGGAGGTAAGCATGGAGGTAAGCATGGAGGTAAGCATGGAGGTAAGCATGGAGGTATAGTGATCAGGACAAGAGATCGAATAGAGGTGGGATGATAAAAATTACAGTAATATATAATTATATTTTTCCAGTACAGCTAATCTTTTATTCCAGAAGATCGATAGAATATTTTGCTTTTCTTGGCGGGCTTTACCAACGCGTGATTTGGCAAGCGGGGTAATAGCCCATATAATCTACCTCCATTCCCTCCTCATCCTACCTCCATCTACCTCCATCCTACCTCCATCCTACCTCCATCCTTACTTCATCCTGCTGCAACCTCAAACACGATGGTGCGGGTATCAAACAAGCGACGGCCTCCCCGCAGACCAATAACCCATGAGGATGCGTGGAAGAAAATCGAAGACGTTGGAAGTACCCTTATCAACAAGAAATGCTTAAGGCACACCAAAGATAAGCGTGCCATTGACTTGTCACTATCAGAGGTACCTAGATCTGATAAGGATCGAAGGTTCCAGAATTTTATCAATACTGTGCGGCTGAGATGCCGCCCTAATAGTGCAACTGGTGTTCTTCTATGCTCGACCGCTCTCGGCAAAGATAATATGGCCAGTATGAACAAGTACCACCGCGAAGAACTTTTCAATAAGCTTGAAAGGGAACGTAACGGGCCACTATTGAACTCTCCAGTTTTGAAAGAAATTTCTAGGCTCCACCAAATCCCCGATATGCAGATTGAGACAGATCAGCCGCCTCTTCCCGAACATAACAATCATTCGAATATTGATGGGGCAACTTTTGAGCACGCTTCCCTAGAAGGGATCGCTACTGTTTTTACTGAGGACCTATGCAGTATAATTTTAAGAGTCCCATGCCAGATTGATGGAGAGACTATCTGGAAAGCTGCCGTGACGACAGCCTTCCCGCTTTGGGGGGGCCTGGTCAATTGTCTAATGAGTCTTGACATATGTATGCCGGGGATAGATTATCTTGCTATGGCATTATTTGATGCAAGAATCACTCCAGCCGAACCACTTCGACATATCTCTTTTGGTGACGGGCCGACATTGGTTGTGCCAAACTCTGAATCAACCATGAAAGGTGTCAAGGAGGGGGCCATTATTAAGGTCTTCGGTGCTGAAATACACGAGGCAATTAGGGATAGCCCTGTGCGGAAAAAGGAGTTAGGAGAAGGGAAACAACTAACAGAATGTGTATCAATGATCATCACAAGGCAAGGTGCAATTATAAATTTATCCTTAGATCTGAATCGTGGTGTTGAAATCAGCCGCAAGCTATATGCCTAAATCTTCTAACTCATCCACCCGGACTTTTCCTTGAGTAATGTATAGTTTAACACCGTTTCGTACCTCCATTTGGCCGTCAGGGTAATCTTCAAGATGTGTAATTTGTTCGATCCCCTCGCTATCCGTTTCATATACGGTAACATTGCATCCCTTCCAGAAAACCATTTGGACCATTTGATTTTTACCAACAATCATCGTAACACGGTTCTTGTTTCCATTGTTGAAAACCACAGAAGGATCGAGAGGCTCTACTTTAAAAGCCTGGTAAATGTTAAAACATGTATGTAGTAGATCTAGTGGCATTAGCTTACCATAGAAATCCGGAATTAAATTAAGAATTAGGGGACCTTAAGATGCCCGCGATTTGCTTGGGACCTTTGTTTCTTTAGCCACGAAGGAAAGGCGTGATAACGGTACTCACTCTTTATAGTGTAATCGGATAAATTGGAGTCTTATTTGTTGCGGGTACAGGTAGGTAAGTCATAGCTCCTCGGCCTTTTGTTCTCTGATGATGAGGAAGAAATGCCCACGTTCGCCATGAATTAAACTGTGGTGGGTCCTTTATCGATCACATGATCTGTTGCAGAATTGATACCGCCCCGCAATTTGGGCAGTCACCCTTCCACCCAAAATGTCAATAGCTAACTATGAATGATAATGAAACATTACTAATATCAGTGGCGGTTCCGATCACCCACCGGTCTGATATAACTTTGTCCCCATTACTATTAATGGGTCACTTCATGGTCGCGATGTTACTCTATTCATTTCGCTGCATCAGCCTCCTGCTCCTTTAAATTTCTTTGCTTTAACTGTGCTTTTCGAAATACATCCTATGATCTTACAGAGAACCAGTACCATGATGTCTGATGGTATTATTGTTCGGTTGAACATCTAGAATGGATTAGAAGGAACCATAAATTTTAATATCCGAGTTATTACTTACTCGTATGGATAATGTTTCCTTGGTGGAGGTAATCCAAGGCAATAAGTACAAGCCGCAGGGCGGGCCAAAGGAGGTTTTCTGGTAAGGTATCATCCTCAAGACAGCGCATATAATCATGTATGTCAATACTAGCAGGTTCATAAAGAAGACATGGATGCACTCCATGCGGCCCGGAAATCTCAAACGCATCAAGGATAAGCCGGACATACTTTCACCGCCATGAGTATCATGAACGGCTTGCAGGTGTTTTGCGATTACCACCTCTGGAAGCTGTGGTCTAGTTCAAGCATGCACTTTCAGGACTAAATAACGCTTATTACTCTGATATATCAGCTCATGACTCCGATAACTATCTTTGCACACTTACCAAAGGTCCCGACATAACCATACGGTTGATGATGAGCCGAAGCCAAGTTTAGTAACAACCTGGTATTGTGATTTGAAGACTTCACCAATGTGGACTGGATAGTAGTGCTCCTCCAAATAATCAGGGAGAGTCTCTTCTTCAATTCTTATAGAAGAATCTAGGAGGCGGAATCTGAACTAGGAAAGACGCGTGGTTGAGACATTTGAACAGTGGCGATACCAGTATTCCTGCGCTGAGAAACAAAAGTGAAACAGAGTTGCGGGTAGGTTAGATGTCGCAATGACAAATTTAAACACCTGCCAGCGCGTACAAATGTGTTGAATGACAGACGGTCCATAACTGCTTGATTTTTGAAAAGCGACAAAATAAGAAATTGCGAAGAGACATGCCCTCTAGCTTGGTGGCTGTGGCCTTTCAGACATGACTGGCGGCAACTTCCTACCCGACCTCCCTGTCTTACCTTTTTATGGATGATCGGAGTTCTTGGCACAATCCTCCCTTACTTGGTTGGCGGTCGGGATGTGCGCAAATCGACCAATGGATGTTAAAGAAATCCTTTTGTTAAAGTTACCAAGCTGATCCTTGTTTGGTTCAAAACATTTGTTTGCGCCTACTTATGTTGTTTATTCCATGCAGGATTGATAGAATATTTTGCTTTTTCTTGGCTGGTATTACCAACGCGTGATTTGGCAAGCGAGGTATCCTACCTCCATCCTACCTCCATACTTACCTCCATACTTACCTCCATACTTACCTCCATACTTACCTCCATGCTTACCTCCATGCTTGCCTCCATGCTTACCTCCATACTTACCTCCATGCTTACCTCCATACTTACCTCCATACTTGCCTTCATCTTACCTCCATACCATGCGCAATACGTTGATAAACGTAGTACCATTGTGTTGGAGTCATGGCGCAATCTGGAAGCGCCAATTTTCACTGTGACAGACATGAATATGGAGATAAGTATGAATTGACGGTCTTCTGGGCACCGCAATACGATCAATAAAGTCCTAGAGCAATTATAGATAGACAATAGCACAAGCTTCATGTAGTTATAAAAAGGGCCTTACGTTTTTGTAGTTAACCATGCATAGTTTTCCTACTTCGGTCTCCTTTACTATTATTTGCACCTACCAAGCCTTCTCGTGCCTGCACACTCGCATCTGTCCGTGCCAAATACTGATGGATTGCCTGGACAGCATGATCTTTCTCTGGAGTGGTATTAAACGCTGGTTATGGCCGGCGAGGAGCGGCGTCCAGAGAGACGAGGTCAGGAATGCGCCCACATTGTAGGATGCCTGATCTAATAATAGCTCAGATAATAATCTTCGCAGACGCAGAAAGAGGGCCGAGCGACCTGGTCATAATTTTTCTTCGCGGTCAGTTTTATGACCGCCTCCCTTGGAGCGAGTTCAAGTCAATCGGAACGTCAGCAACAACTGCAGTGGTCGAGGCTGGGTGGAGATGCAGGGCATTGGACTGGATAGCGGAGACAATCCGCGAAAAGCGGTTCGACGAGAAGGAGTTGGATAAACTTCGAGATGAGGCCAAGGATAAGCGTAAGCGGATTTCCAGTTATAATTCCTCTGACCCAGTTAGCGTTTTCGAAAGAGACTAGGCAAGAGGATTGGATGGCCAATTGATCTAAACCACTAGCGATATTAGCTATGCATGTATAGATATGCAGCCGATCGTTGTACATAGCATCTGTAAGGTAGGCAATCAATAAGGTGGCTATGCATTCGACCTGACAGGCCGCACATTAGCATTAGTAGGGGTTGGCAGGTACAATTGCCAACAACCCGAGGTGTGCAGCACAATCCGACATGGACTGGGAAAGTATTTAGTTCTCTCGAAACCTACAGAATTGAAGCATGGTCATCCCGACCAACCGCCGGTCTTCTTTCAACCCAGCATAGGCCTTCAGACCATTCCATCTTCTTTTACTCTTTCTATTTCTGGTATAGAACCCTCCTACAGTCAACCCCCCATGCCCTTCATGCACCCGTTTCCTGGTTCTGTCAAGGCCAAACTTATCTCTACGCGAGATTGCAGAGCGCACTGGATCATCACATTCACCCAGCTCAATTACCGTATCAGTGCATCCTGCACACGGACAGGTGTTGAGTGGATCGAAGACAACGATTTGGAAGTTTCGCACACGATCGAGTACCATATGATGGAAGGCTGTCCTGGGGCTGAAGAGATTAAAAGCTTTATCCTACTTCCAGAGCACCTCAGGAGAATGCCACCGCAAGTTTGCCCTTGTGTGACTTGGACGTAGGTATAACAACATAAGAAGCAACTGTCTATATTCTAATTTTTTATAGATGGTACATTATCTGGGATCTCAATAGAAGGCACTATATTGAGGACGTTTCATGCGACAATGTCCCAATACAACAACTAAATGACAAACTGATCAACATTCAGTCGGAACTCTATGGCAGTGTGTAGGTCCATGGGGCAATTACTATTGGTATATCGAGGAACTATCCAATGGAAACCGTAACCCGCATACCAGGCAACTACCTTCCGACGGCTGTACGGGTACAAACACCTCCTTATTTCTTTTGTTGCTTTTCTAGCACTTAAGGCTAGTGATCTATCGACGATCCCTTGTCTAGTGCTTACGGTGGGGATCATAATAGAGGATTTCTCGATTTTGCTACTAATACTATTAGTCTAAATAGCAATTCTCGTTTAGTGCTTCCTGTAGATCTAGATCCTCTAACCCAGAGTCTGTTTTCACGTGGGCTAGTTAGCCAATACTGACCAGGCAGTCCCACGGAGGACTTATCTAGTCGCAGTAGCTTTTTGGGGCAAGCAAGGCTGCACCTGTCGTTTGGACTTAAATATCTTTATATTCCCCATATATTAAAGTAATCATCTACTTACTACATGACCTACCAAAACTCTGAAGTTGCCCTTTTTTAAAATGCAACAGCAAGTTCCATATAACAGCTCATACCTGCATAGACGCGGCATTAGAGCTCAGAAGCAATTAATATTCAAGCATAATGGATACTATTGTTTCAAGGGTAAGTTCAATAACCAAAAGAAGTACCACTGTACTTTGTACGTTTGAATTATAATCAAGCATACAGAGGCTGAATATTTATCAGGGACTATTGACGATGAGAAGCTTGTTGAAGAGGTTTATGAAATAGCCCTGTACAAGATTTTTACACCGTCTGGGAATCTTGAAGAATCAATATATCCATATCTATGTTCTTACGAAAGTTCGGCTTCAACAGAAGCGTTAGCTGGTCGGAGTTTTGATGGTAAGATAGTATAATCTACAATTAACTTTCCATACTAAGCTTTAGACAGAAAAAAATTGATATATTCCTTCGCCTGATCCGTGAGATTCAGATAAACGGCTTGCGTGAGTTCACAGGGGTCATGAAGTTGCACCTACCGGATGAACGGCATATTGATCTATTCCAACAAATACTTTCCATCCGAGAAGAAGAGGAAAAGTTCAAGACAGGGCTATCCAGTATGTCTTTCGCGGCATCTATCAAAATAACTGATAAAGTAACGCGTACCAGGGCGAGGTGTTTCTATTCCCAAAATATTGCTTTATCTGCCGCCAGCACAAGAGAGTGATTATCGAGAACTTGAACAGCTCTGTAGTAATTTTACTGAGCATGTGGAGAATTATCAAGGATACTACAAGAATCAGATCAGGTCCTTGAATAACAGACGTCTTATTTTGGATCTGTGGATCAAATATATCGATCCAGACAAGCGTCGGACTCATCCCTTCAACTGCACCACGGGTCCATTATGGTGGCCTGCCAATATCCCCCATAAATGCTTAAGCAGAACAAGTGACCATAGTAAGCAGACCTTCATTTCATTTCACTCGGATAGATGACTAATAACCCTAGAGACATCGAACAGCTTATGCTGTATATACTACGTGATTTGTATAACTATGGCCTTAGAGTTACACACTTGATACAAGCTGTAAAGCCCATGAGACATAGCATCACTCTCTCTAGCAATCAAGCATTATATAAGATGCTTGCTGCCCGTGCATTAGAAGAGGGGAGCTGGAAAGATGTCAAAGAAATGCCAATCAAACAGAACATTGCAGAGCAAGCAAGACCCAGTACAAATACACTTGCCCAATCTGCTGTTCCCCAGGAAGCACCATTTCCAGACTCTCCTAGTCATGCTTCAATCGGGCCGAGGAGCTTACGATACCACGGGAGTCAAGAAACTAGGGTTTTCCCCACCACCACCCAAATGATTGATCAATTTCGACAATAGTCAGTTTCGGTAAGCCAAGAGACTTGTTTTCGCGTTAGAAAAGACCAAATTAGAAGAGAGGAGAAATCAACAAGGGAGGTAAGACGGCTCGATAACCTGTCCGGGAGTTAGTTGTATGCAAAATCCTTGTATAGGGCTTGCAGGAAAGGTCACGGCGTGCAGATGTCATTTCGCTTTTCTTCCCTCTTTATGGTGGAGTCCATTCATCTGGCAGTAGCCTTGTGTACTTTTGTTTAGAAAGTAGTATATAAATATTTAACCAGCCTTATTACTTCATTTCTCTGTTCCGATTTTGTATTCTTGGGTATCCAAAATGTTATCCCCCAACGGTGTAGGTAAAAGCTCCACACTCAGTGACTCCTGTAGTGAACTGTCGAACATGTACAAAGAGAAAATTGATTTACTGGCAAGGAATCAACAGCTCGAGTCCCATAATAGAGTGTTGAGTTGGCGAATACAGAACCTCGAGGGTCAGCTGATACGACTTCAACATTCCCCCCATGGTGCTGCTCCGAGAAAAGGGGCATAAGCATGAAAAGGTACTTATCATGCCCTAGTCTGATGGCCTTATTCTGTGAAACTAGCATAAATTTATTCATATTATAATATTCACCCATGAAGCTTTCCAATTCATGCTACAAATCCCAAAACTGCTGTATCAACCCATTTGGTGTCCTCCTTCCAAAGGCATTATAAGCTTGTGCCACATTGTAGCGTGAAATCTCCTTTCTGGGTGATGGTAAATTGAGAGCATTACTGTATGTATCTGGGTTGGCAACCTGTGACCTTTCTGTGAATTAGCCAGAGAGTATCTGTAGTATCATGGTCACCAATCCAAACCAATTAGATATGATGTAAGCTTTATTTGAAAAGCCCCCAAAGGGAGGAGACGCGGGAGGGGCTGAAGCCCGCTGGCGACACAGGGGACGGGTATGGTTCTTCTTGCTCCTATTGGCGCGGCGGAGGGTACGAGCGGCAGCGGAACGACGTTTGACCATCTGTTGAATACATCAGCGAAATCAGCATATGCGGAAGCCCGCAGACGAAGCAATAAAAGGAAGCGGGAAAGAGCTCAATGCAGAACACAATCATCAGCAGAACGACGAACGCAACAGCGCCACACCTGATAGCTCAGGAGGCCTCAAAACCAGAAGATATGGGCAACACAACGTGCAGAATGGGATACTGCGATCGGAATGACCCAAACGCGCGGCGTGATGGGGGAAAACGAGGCGCTTACCGCGGAGGTAGGAGAGGTTGGTGATTGAGTAAAGGAATGAGGAACAGCGCGTGAGAAATCGCTGTAGGCAGGTGACATCCAACACAAGCGGCGCCTAGGCAACGGAATCAGTGAATGGCCCAACACAACCACAACACAGCACCGCCGCCCGATGTCAAGCCAAATCGGGCGTTTCAACCATAGGGCGCCCGGCAGAAATCGGGATCGGACCCTCTACAACGCAACTAACGTTCCTACACTTCCCGAAATGGAAAGCGTGAGGGTATCCCCAAGCGTGAAATCACACACACTGCTCAGAACCACCGAACGCCTACACCCCGCGCTCGCAACCAAACCCCGTATAAGGCGGGATCCTACGCCAGTATGAATAAGCACCTATGAAGCCCTGAGGCTAGGGCATTCTGAGAGAGGGGGGTAATGTTAGGCGCACAGTTCATCAAGTAATCTGATGGGGTTAACAGATAATCAAGAATAACTGAAAACATTGCTAGCTAAGCTACGGGTAATAGAGTACTACGGAAGAACAGCGGAACATCTCTCCATTAGAGGAACCAGCTAAGTACAGTCATCATGAAAAGAAGAAAAGAAAGGTCCAGGGAGTCCCGAAAAGGGTTCCCGTCCTCGGCCTCGCCCCAATTAACGGCCGGTCATCAGAGCGATAGCAGACTGAAGAGACTCAATAGCCTCACCGCTAATCTCCACAGAGCTCTCCAACTGTCCATAACCCATCTCCAAACCACCATGTCTCTGTTGAGCGGAGAGGGTAGCGGGCATTCCCGAGAGAGGACCAACCAACTGAAGGCTGTTTTCGGCTGCCTGGAGGGAACTAATGGCCTTGGTAAGGCTGGCCTTAGCTTCATGAATGTATTTCTCGATAAGGTCTTGAAAAAAAATTAGGAACGAATCTTTCGACGTAGGATGCGCGGAGCAGCATACCGGACACGAGGGCACCCGGATGGGACGAGTTTAACGGAGCAGACATCTTCACAAAGAACGCTAAGAAAATGCCAAAGTCAGTAACACAAAACGCGCATCGCATGCCACTCATTCATCCAGAGTCGCGAGAAACGGGCGAAGCCAGTAGGAAATACATACAGAGAACAGCTTTTGTTCGACTTAAGATGAAAAGACGACGTTGAAGATAAAAGTCGATGGTGGTTGTTGTTGGCGGATGGGGAGATGAGGGGATTGTAGAAGAGGAAGTGAGGTCCCAGGTCTTGAAGGAATTCCTCAGGTGGAAAATGGGGGGCCTGAAAGGAAAGTGAATATGGAAGATCCACCCGAGGAATCAGGCGCCACAAGTCTGAGGTCAGGATCGCATCCTTTTCAACGCACCTGATACTGAAGTTCTCTGCCAGAGACTTGTGAGGTCACTATCTCCGCCTCTTACTCTTCCTCATCGCTTGCCTCGCTCACCTTGCGCGCAGTACTGTTGGTACCTTCGGACCCTCAAGTAACCGCGAAACAAATTGCAAACGGTCATCCTATAGCGATGTCAGGAGGAGGGAACGGAGGGTCATAAAGGTGTGTTCAGTTCTGTGTGATCTAGTGTTTGTAGCCTGAATCTGCTTAAAAGCCGTCCTCTTGGTTTCATCACCTGCTTGGCCGGTCGCTTGTTAGCATACAGCGGAGTAATACTCATCGAGACTCACCTTGACCCTCCACGTCAACCAGTCTGTTTTCTCCCCTACGATGAATGTATCGTCTGGTTTGATATGCGTTTCGGTCGTGAGCGGAATTGTCAAAATGGTTTGAATCAACCCCTAGGAAATTTTTCGGCAAAAACCAAAGGAAGAAACCAGTGCGCTTGGTAGTTTGAGTGGAGCACTAGAATATGCTCGAACTGCCCCCAGTCAGCTGTGCCGCTACTGTCAAACTTGTGGATGGCCTGATGTGTGTCGCTAGCTCTTTGATTGTCTTCGCCGGGAGGACCACCGGGTCAATAGGGGCAGTTCTTGGGGCATCGAACAGTCTTAGAAAGTCTTCAAGGCTATCTTCCGCGGCACCCGTGCGGGGGCGATATTGGTAACCATCGAGTCTAGGGCGTCTCAATGGTCGTTTCCCTGAGACCCGGCTTTGCTGGAAACTCGCTTGCAGGCCTTAGGCTGTTCACTGCAATTGCGGCTCTTGTCCTCACTGGAGTACATCGTGTCAGTTTCATAACCATGTTGGACTGGCCATTGGCGTCTAGTTCTTCATTAGCCGATGGGTAACTGCTGTCGGTAGCTCGGCGCGATTGGCCGATTTTCATCACATATTCATCGGACACAATTACTGTGCAATGGGTAAGGAAATTAGTACACCCCGAAACCTGGGCACTTTTCGAAAACATCCATACAACTATTGAGCGTACCCTCTGCACCACTTCTAGCCCGGGATTTCAGCGATTGAAGTTGGTTGCCATGAGAATCCATAGTCGGGAAATAGGCTTCCTCAACTGACTGCCATTGGAGATTGACTGGACCACTGTAGAGGTTATGGACAGGCAGCACAAGTACAGCCGCCAAAGCATTGGGAATTCAGCAGCTACGTAACGGATAATGTAGAAGTTGTGGAGACTTTTGGTTCATGAGAACTACTTGAATCGCTCTTGATCAGATAAGTAGATCCCTAGGGTGTCAGGAAAGATCCTCCATTATCAGCAGCAAACTTGGCTTTCCAGCTCAGCCCTGTTGCTAAGAGGGCTTACCACTATCTACACGATTTGCCATCGAATTCACCGATTACTCGTCATTAGAGTAAGTCTCCTGGTACTGGAGAATTATTGCTCTTTTCCAATCCAAGTTCAGTTTAGCTTCATTTCATCCTAGTGTTGCTGAAACAATCAAAGGAGTATAAGTGGTGACACAGTTTCCAGACAACCTGTAGCCATATCTCATGTGTGTTTGGTACTGGGCTCTCAACAATGAGCCACCACCCAATGTGGCACTATTGGAGCTGGCCTTGTGTCATCATTAACGGTAATGTCCTGGACTGTTCTTCTGCCGAACACCGAATTTGCCAACTAGTAAGCCCACGGGATCTGGACACGGTTCCCACTACTTGCTCTTGCAAGTATATAAATAGGCTCCTTTGCTCCCTCACTGATACCAGCCCACAGCTTCCACAAAATCTGTCCACTCCTCAAAGGTATGGAATAACCACGATAGACACTTTCCTTGGAAGGGTTGATCGGAAGCCTTCAGCTTAGCGAGGAAATTCTCATTCGTTTCTATTGTCCGAATAGCACATTCTCTAAGCAAGGCCACCTATACAGTATTACTGACCGTTGAATCTTCTAGTCATTGCGAAATAGAGTCATTCCGCACGAAAAAGTAAAACTTCTCTACAAATCTTTAGGACTACGGAGATGCCATTGACTCCACCTCGACGAAGTATTACTATGAACAAGAAACACGGAAAAGCGATCCAGCAGAGAAGATGGAAGCAATTTTACCCTTCAAAACATGCAACTCATGCGGTGAATACTTCTCAAAGAAAGAAGCCTTATCCATGGAAGAAGTATGAGTTGAGTCTTAGGATATATAAGGCGGGTTTACTTTTTTTTAACGATAATCCTAAAAAGTACGCACACCTTGTCCCACTTGACTTATATTTTGCATGTGACGAGGCGGGCCTAGACTTTTTCCGAGGTTTGAGTATTGGTGGGAAGGTTCCTTGGAGATAGATCACAGAATCACTGTTCTTGGCCATAAAGGCAAGAATTTGCTGTATATAATTCAAATCTATCTCTATCAGTTTCTTGTGTTTGTATATGTGTATGATACATTAAGTACCTCAACCCTCCTGAAGGATATGTAAATACACAATTAATCTACTTCTGAATTCCCAAACTAAGATAAGCATGCTTGCACTACTATAATGGGGCGTGAATTTGCCTTGAATGGCACTGCTATTCTTGCTCAAGGAAATTGGCAGTTGCGAGCCGCAGATGAAAGGAAGGTCAAAAGGCCAGATGACCTAATAGATAGATGGTTTCAGTAGGATGTATTTCTATTCAGGAAACTCCAGAGCTCTTACAAAGCAAGAATACTACTGAGGAAGATATATCTACTAAACCAGTGTTTGCTGACAGGTGACAAAGATGCACTAGGTCCTGAGCATCTATTCACCTTGGATACTGCCCATAACCTTGGTCTTCTCTACTCCTACTCTGCTTAGGGCAAGCTGGAAGAGGCAAAAGTGTTGTATTGTCAGGTGAAAGTGCTTTCTATATTCCATATTCAGAGAGCTGTTTTCAAACCCTAATCACAGTATGTTCCAAACTCATCCATTAATCACATAAATAAACTGGTCTTTTATTGACTCTACAATAAAAATAAACTGTACTTAATTATTGTATAATATATAGTGGTCTAGACATTCATGGTGTAGATACTGGAGCATATGTTATAAATAGTCTTTTGCAAACTAACTGAACAAAATAATACATTGAGTCATAAGATTTAAACAACTACTCTTCTATATCTTGTTCTTAAAATTGATAGAAATATCATGCTTGGCATAAGATAATATAGGCTTTTATTCATTGCACAACTTCCAATGTTCCCAAATCCCTACAAGAAACGTGGAAGAATAAGGACAACAAACTTTCAAGAAGACGGCTATGGCTAGATAGGCACATTTAAGATTCTATAGCGTACGATTGCCTAAGTGGCGAACGAACACTTTTCCCATTCCAGGAACCTATACTTTCCTCTTCTCCCCGAACAACTGCTGACTTCGAAATACACGGCCACTTCTCGACCTTTCCTTGATATAACCTTCCTTGGTATAATCCAGTGTTTCTTGGCTAATGTTTCAAAAACAACTTTCCCTCGAGTACAATGATGGTGAAGCCACTTTGGGAACCAGCATATCAAGGCTGACTTTTACTTCCAGTTGGAAGGGCAGAAACTCTTTTATTGCTCGGACAGGTATAGCCTTCCACTTTTTTCTCAGACTTTGCTTTCTTCTTCTTCTTAGCCTTCGGTTTCTCTGTCTTAGTGGCCGATTTCTTTTCGGCGCAGGCTTTTTTCTCTCGCTTCAATTCCGCTATTTTCTTCGGAGGCTCCAATCTCTTCCCCTTAGCCTTCAATGCTTGATTTTTAGATGATATCTTCAGTTTTTTTGCTCTCTTAGCCTTCTTTCCTGGCTTCTGCACTGGTTAGTATGCATAGCCTGTATGTTGTAAGCGTTTAGCAAAAGTGATACGCTCACTTCTTCTGCTGCCAAAGGTGTGCAGACAGTAGACCGTCCTGTGTTCGTGAAAGTCTCATTACCAGTTTGCCTCCAATTCCGGCCGCCAGGCTGCAACCCAAACCGCTCAATCCAAGCAGAACTGCTATCGTGAGGCCAAATCTCGTAACACACATTCTCTGCACCCTTTACTCTCGGATGTACCATCAAAATCCAGCATGGTGCTTCATGGAATGCCGTCCCTTTGATGATAGGCTCCTCAATTAGCTGAAAATACGACAAGCCGGACGGGTGAAATCGTTCTGGCGGTGGTGGGGACAGCATTATAACACTTTGACCCTGGGCTATGCACCATGCGAAAATGGCTGAGGCCCCGTGGACGTATCTGCTCCATGACTTTTTACCTCGGTCGCAGTGAGGTTGTTGAGGCTCCATCAAGGGGCCCATTACGGTAGTCAGAGTCTGCATGTTATGCGCGTCGGCCCATTTTTGCGCTTCGCTGCCAGTCATGCCGCTCCACAGAACTTGTTTGTTAGAGACCCAGTTGTCTGATTAGAACTGTTCGATAACTTGGGCCGCTTGGTCAGGACTTAAATAGTGCTGCATGGCTTTGATACAGTAGTCACGCGATTTGTTCTGTTCTGGGACCCGTTGGAGGATGTTTTCCATGGTATTCATTGAGTGAGGACTGATAGCGAGCTGTGGATTCTGAAAGCGTTGTTTTGAAATATTTCTGCTTTTCGCCACTGTAGTGGAAAACCAGAAGATTAATAGCTCTTAACGCCGAGTGCTGTTCACTAAAGTACCTCTCAACGTCATGTTGAGTGGCAATCGCCGGATTTATGGTACTGTATCAAACTCTACCGGAATTGTGTTGTACCTTCATGACGGAGTACCAAATACCGGAGCGCACTTCATACCTAAAAAGGGTGGAAAACGACTTTGTGTATACAAGACAATGAAGGTTATTTCAGATACAACTGTATTGCATCAATAGCCTTCAGTCCTGGCTGAGCAAGATACTCCTCGGATGGATTGCCGCTGAGCTCCCGAATTTAGTTGAGGTCAACTCTATTCTTATTTTCCTTTTTACTGACTATCCTTAGAGTTTAGTATAATGGTAACAACAATACACTAAGGAAATGTATCTGGAATCAAGTGAGACACTTCAATCTGGGCTGATACCAGGATGTTAATTATCTACATAATCAGTGAGAGGGAAATTATACGGTTCTAAATTAACAATCAAGCTGATCTTGTCTTTCTAAGTATCTTGAGTACTAGAGAGCTCTCTTCCCTAGTGAGCGGACTAGACCGAGTCCGCGACGTCTGTAGGCTGAGATTATGGCCCTTAATCGAATCTCGGGATATCCTCCATATCGGCCGCCACTTAGCTGCGCCAGCTCTAACCAGGACTTCCGCAACGTCTTCATACCCTTTGTCGCGCGCCACGACCAATGCAGTACCGTATCGAGAGCGTAGGTTCAGATTAGCACCTGAATTGATCAATAGTCGCACTATTTGGAGCCTCCCATATTGGGCAGCGGCTATAAGCGCACCACCATGATAGCCACCGCGTGCATCGATATCGGCCCTCTGGCTCAGGAGTAAGTGCACTAGCTCCACACTCTCGCGGCGGGACGACGCCTGAAGTGCACAGTTGTACCATCCGAACCAGTGAGCATTGGGGTTTGCCCCTTGTCGAAGGAGTGATCTAGCCTTTCCTAGGTCTTGGCTTTCGGCGGTGTGGTATATGCTGATCCATCGTTTTCGTGGCCTATCCTTTAAATCAACCCAGGGTTTACTGTATGTATGTAGGGTTCACTGTTCACTGTCTCGGGTGGTATGTCTGAAGGGTAGTATGGGTGGTTTGATGTGCTGGGTAAAGACTTTAACAATTTCCGCATATATTGCATGGGGAAGCAAATGTGTAGGGAATATGTTTCAGTCCTTTGAGGGATGCGATTGTGGGTTGTCAGTCTGATCCCGCACTATGCCAGCACTTTAGGCAAAAATTATTCCTAGTCAAGTAATCCACCTAGTCTGATTCCGGCAAAGCACTTTTTTACTGGCTACTTTAGATGCGGATACGTAGGTTGTGGACATCTATGGGGACAATATCCAGAATGGCGATGCCTCCACCTACGAATGGCCACCCTTTTTTTAAAAACACAGTTAACATGGATAGATTGAACAACTGAAGCACATAGGATTTTGTCGCCTATTTTATTCGGTGAATATGTGAAAGGATACGTCCAAATACAATAGAACTTCTACGACAGAGTATTTTAAAATTGCATTGTTCTGCCGAATGCCTGTTTAGTAATGTCACTCAACCAACCGGGGATGTTGAAGATCTCAGAGTATGGAAGCCTCATAGTTTTCGTCTGAGGCTCAAATTATAGAGCGCATGCGGCCTATGCGGCTGTCAGGCTAATATCCATCTAACAGGTTATAATACCCAACTACTTCATTGAACTATATCCTAAATTTAGCAATGTGGGGCTCTCCCCAAGGTTTAAAGAAGAAAAGAAGTACAGCGCAGACTCTTTCCAAAACCCTGACCTATTTGCGCTAATTCATATACGGTTGGCCTGTGAATATGGATTCTTGGCATGTGCTATACCATCTGCCTTGTAATTTCCTTAAATATTACGCCCAAATGTACAGGTATGAAGCCCACAGAGACTGCTAGACGCTTCGGTCGCGGTTGACTCGGTCAAGTGTCATAGATTTGGCGACCTGTCAACATCCGAGGCTGCGTGCCAAAAGGCTCCCGTTTGAAATTGCCTGTGGGAAACAAAGATGACTGTGAAGCTTTAGTACCCCAAGCACAAACTCTATGTGAGCATCTAAGTACTTGGGAAGCCTACCTTATACGAGGTGGACTGGTCCATCTAAAGTTGTTCGAAGGAGAAACAATGACGTTGGTATACTGTAAATGGCAAGTCTCGTTATTAGAGGAAATGAGAATCCTCGAGCAGCATATGTGCTCCATAATGTTCATGATGTCTCCTTCAAGCGGTCTAGCATCCATAGTTCATAGCTCCGTTCTTCAGGAAGTAACTCCGTGATAGAAGATATAACTGTTGGATGGCCCTCTTCAACTTGAAATTCCCCAGACCCGATGAACTCCAAAGCACGATTGCAGAGGCTAAGGCACAGTTTTATGGACTTTTGTTCCTGCGCAACCGCGTTTTGTATTGTCTGAAGCTGATGAACCGCGAGAGTAGGCCTGTCCACTTCTTCCTGTAACTCAATTTTAGCTTCCTCTATCAGACGCTGATAGAACTGAAGCACGGTGCTATTCACAGAAGAGTTTTGACTAAGTGATATTATCAGGCAAGGCCATCATATGGTGGAAATGGGCAACGCTTACAGCCTTGCTTTTCCTAAAACCACTCTGAACGTCAACCTGTAACGGGATATCACGTATCGCCAGTTATCCCAGCTCCGAATCGAATTCTTTTCGGGTTGCATGATATATTCAGAGACATCCAGGACAATGGATGTGCATTGCATCTCACAATGTCGCAGTGGTAGCTCCAGCATCAAAAAATCACGGTCATACTTATGTGCCACGCCCCGAAGTGCAACCAGGGTTTGCATTAGAAACCTCGATTGGTCTTGGAGTTTCCGGAGTTTCCAGACAGAAGACATGGGGCGGATGTTTTGAAGAATCGTATAGAGAATGTTGCTGGTGTTGTACAACGAATCTATTTGTGAGATTATTATTGAGCTTAGAACTGAAAAGATATAAGGTTTGACTGAGTTGTAGACATGGCGACAGCTTAGAATTACCGCAAGCAGAGTAGCTGAAGTTGGAAGGTTCTCTAGAATTAGCACGATGATCTCGGGAGGGAGTGTGTTGATGTCAGGCATCGTGATTAGTAGATGGGATAGAAAGCCTTTATGATGTACAATACCTCCAAGTCAGCTGAAATTCTTCCATCACGCGTGGTTGCCAAGAGTGAGGGGCATCAGGTCACGTTGTTTGCTGGGTTAGCATGCAACCATCACCATACATGGCTCAATGTAAGTTGTCCTTCGATTGAAGTTCCATACCACAGTGCCGTGGATGACGACTGTCACAAATCTATTCCAGTCAGTATCAGTGTCAATTTCTGGAACAAACACAAACGACGAGACCATGGCACCGGTTTTGAAATCAGCTGTGCTCAACTCTTGCGGCTAAACAGGCTGCGCTAAGAGCTACTACGCAAAATTAGAAGAGCATTCAACAACATCTCAGATATGCTAGGAGGATCTGACCAAGGTAAGGAAGGTAGGTTACAAGATGGCCCCGCAGGACAGGTGCGGTACTGGACTATGCGGAAGCATCTCAGAGATTCTGAAGCCGCGCGCCACGAGGGCCGCAGAACAGAACACCAGCACTGGCCAACACAGTCCTTGACGAGGCTCCAAGTTCATCAGGAAAGTAATAGTTCATTGTAAATAGCCACGCACATAGAATACAGATAGTAGCTTCCCCGCATATCGCCTTGAGAGTTGTAACTCTGAACCGAGGTACAAGTGTTGTAACGATCTAACTATGTGAGCAGGTACGGCTATTTATAGCCAAAGTAGCTGTCTTTCCTACAAACACACACCTCAAAACCGATATAATTGAAACACTATAAGTCACGAGTTCGCTTGCGAGAACAACACTCAAAGAAAGTCAACCATATGTCTTTATCAACAAGGCCATCGACATAGCTGAACTTGTTAAGGAGCTCTTCGAGTTGTCAGTAGATCCTCCATCATTGTTCCTCGATATTGAAGGTGTCAACCTCTCGCGGCATGGAAGCATCTCGATTCTTCAGGTCTTTGTTTTGCCTCACAACAAAACCTATCTGATTGATGTCCACACTCTGAAGGAAAATGCCTCCCTGCAAGCAGCAAGCAATGGCCAGACACTTAAAGATCTTTTGGAATCAAAGTCCATTCCGAAGGTCTTCGTCGATGTCCGCAATGACTCTGATGCGCTCTACAGTCACTTCGGAATTAGCCTCACTGGCATACAAGACCTTCAATTGATGGAGCTTGCGACACGTAGTTTCCCGAAGAGATGTGTTAATGGCCTAGCGAGATGTATTGAGAACAAGGCAGACATGACATTCTCTGAAAGAAATACATGGAAACTTGGGAAGGAAAAGGGTTTGAACCTATTTGCCCCGGAACGTGGAGGTAGCTATGAGGTATTCAATCTTCGTCCTCTTGCTCAAGACAACATGCAGTACTGCGTACAGGATGTCTAATTCCTGCCCAGGTTGTGGCAGAAGTACAATCGAAAACTAAGCCCAAGATGGGCAGCAAAGATTGAGGCGGAAGTCAAAAATAGGATCTTGATTTCTAAGTCAGCCACGTACAATGGCAAGGGAAGACACATGGCTTTGGCAACTAAAGGGTGGTGATAGTTCGTTGTGAGACTTCAATTGCTAGAATGTTGAAAACGGCGGCTCTTAGGCGAATATTGGGAATTGACTCTTGTCTTTGATAGGTCTAATATACACGGTCATAATGTTGGAGCAGAGTCTTTTCGCGGAAACCCTCTAATGGTATCATTATATGCATTTATCTTCTTAGGTGTGATCCATCTCTGCAGGGAACACTTCGACCTATTAACATTTTAAATTGTTGACGGTTCTTTAGTTATGTATGGAAGCTGAAAGCATCCTCAAGGTTCTTTGCCTGGTTTTTGTTTCCTTTTTTCTTTTCCTTTTCTTTTCTTTTACTTTGGCATACATATCGAGGTATAGCTTCAAAGTAGAGGAAAAGCCTAGATTCATGGCCTAATTAAAGCTCTTGGGCGCAGGCCTCTTCAAGAATGGCAATTGCTAATGCTACATAGGTAACGGGGATAGCTAGGGGAAGAAACGCACTGTCGGGGCGTACAATTTTCGAACTTATGTGGTTCAATGTGTGTAGATGGACATTGAGATTGCCGCATTTCATGGAGGCTTTCATGTTAAGATGAAGACTCGATCATATACCCTGATGGAAGAGGTTCACAGGTGGCAGAGAAACCAACCAACTGACAGAAACAAAAGAGGATTCAAACATTGGCTGAACCCAATTAAATGAGAGGAGACTTACAATACACATACATGGTACCGTAACAGAAATGTGTCATTTGTGACATATTATGTAATTATATTCGTTCTGTGGCGGTGTAATGTAATGTATCGGAAGGCCGAAGCCTTGTACAGTAATGTCATTGTGTGCCATTGACTCTGGTATTGCTGCAACCTGCTCGAAGAGATCCTTCTCTTAAGGATGCTATATTCGCGCCTTAGTCTTTTGATGTCATCATCTGATTGTGCTTGCTGGGTTTCTGTGGCTTTGGTAACCAAACACGGGTCTACATCGATCTTCTGTTCTTCTTCTATAGGCAACGGACGATGGAGGCCATCCTCGTGAAATCGGTCGTAGCCTTGAGGGTAGTCAATGTAAGTATGACCTGCGGCTCTGCCTCGTAGAGCATTGAATACATCCATGCCAGAACAGTTGGCAAGATAGTCATGTCCGTACACAGTTTTAGACCTTTGTGTAAGGATTTGAGCCACGGCAGCCGAGGAGTATTTCCCTATGCCAGAACTTGGTTAGATTCTTAGATAAGATGGGAGAGAAGCGAGGACTGATCTTGAACAGCTCTTCCTAACTCGCGGCGCATCACATGTGCCGTGACAGTAACAGAATAGCCAGCATTGGCAAGAATCTTATATAGACCGTCTTGATATTTCTTCCTGACCAACGGTTTTCCACTGACACTTTCGGCAGTGACACCTCGAACAATGTATCTATCCTTGGCTTCAGCATTCTATCTCAGGACAAGTTTGTCTTCCCCTTCCGGGATTCTTTGCTCAAAGTCTTCTTCTGGGTTGGAGAACCCAAAGAGAGCATTATCCGCAAGGGCCAGTGCTAGGAGATGCAATGTTCCTGAGTAGGTAGGTTCATCACAGTCCTAAATAGCAGTACCGAAACCGTTCTCCTTAATAATGAATCAGAGCTGCTGATGGTGGTAACTGCATACATTATATTCTCTGGTCTTTATTGTTCTTGACATATTGTTGGTCAAGCCGCCATCCGATCCTCCAAGGAGCATTGTCGGCACGAAACAATATAAGCTTGATATTCTGGTTACTGTCAGCACCTCAAAGTTGAGACATAGGCATATGGAGTCCACAATTTGTAATGAAGCCCCTGTCCAACCCTGCCTGATGTGGGCGTGAAAGAGGACACTGTGGCACCTGTAGGTAGGAACAGAAGACTGATGAAGTGAAATTGAACACGGTACTTTCCAGTCATGAAGAATGGATCATCAGCTGCCCAGAGAGCGATCATGGCGTGCTCAAAGTTCAATAGCTTGAAAGTGTGCTTTGGTCTTTTGTTCACTGAGAGAAGTCCCTCTTGGACTAAATCATGCCTTATCCACTGTAATAATAAGACATATGGTTCTCGACGGGGGAAGCAAACTTACGCTGTAGAGGTCAGCCCGATCGTAGGGAGCAATTTCGTTTCCATTCCACAAAAAGAAGCCTGGGACGAACTCTTGAGCCTAGATTAAAATTGTGTCCATAGTCGGTCATTCATTCAGAGCAAGTCTGCCTTTAATAGACTTAGAGTGCCAGCAGATAAACTCTTTGAGTTCCTCTAGTGTTGGCGCCGGATGCCCGTCTCCAACTTTATAGCCTTCAGGCATATTTCTCTCCTCTAGAAGAAATCTAATGAATCATGATAGGTAAAACAACTTCATGCTAGAGAACGTAGAGACGTACTCCTGATACATACCTCCATACTTTCCTTGTATATCTCTCTTTCGTTTTTGGTGAAGCTCTACTCCTCGTCCTTTGGGTATCTTTCTGTCGACGAGCATTCGTACTGTATTGTAGCACTGCTGCTGACAGTGTTTATGGCGCGCTTTCCTTTTCTTTTCATCCTGCTCGGCCTTTCATGAAGAAGAGCATATAGCCATTGTAAGCCCCTGAAGTGAAGCAGGACAAAATAAGTTTGGAAAGAGTACAGGAAGAGATATGGTAGAAGATAGGTGCAAAATGAGATAGAAGAATAACAAAGTGATAGGTAAGTAGGCTGTAGTTATGTTTACGGTTGAAGTGCAATATTTTTATTTTTTTTTTTTTTTTTAATTGGCAAAACCCCTAATTACTCGCTTGGAGCACAGGTTGAAGTTCCTTAGTGTCAGACATAGTGTGAGGGGATCAAGAAGGATTATCGGTCCTTGTCTTTGTCATGCCCTCAGGAACTTAACGGGCTGAATAATATATTGGAGCAAGTGCCAGTCTGTACACAGTTTAGAGAACAGGTCTTGGTCAGGTGATACATGGCAGAGAGCGAGCCGGAATCGCTCCGAGATCACTCACTGAGTGAGCCAGAGCAATCCGGGAGCAACTAGAGCTGCGGGTGTTTGCTCACTGAGCAATCAGTGAGTGTGTGGCCCGGAGTGCCCACAGAGCATTCACGTGCTGCCCTTACAAAAGCAGCGGCACCTGTATCGGGCAGGGCAATCAGATAGTACTTGTAGAAAAATAGTTCACTTATGCACTATTGTAATTCAAAGGAAGATTTTATTACTTTATTACTTCTGTAAACCTGAAGATCGATATACAAGTTAAACATCGTCCGTGATGGAAGGTCTAACAATACCAGGCCTAGCGCAAATCTCCTCAAAAGTTGCTTTGAAAAGTACCTTATCCATCCGCTATAGGATATTTTTTTGATAATTTTGTCGGAGATATGGGCCATTGTCGGTACGCTGTGGCGCAGATGACATTCCCGTGCGAAGTAGTGAATGCTGCTGGAAGGAAAGATAAATTAGTCAATTAATACACACAACATATCCATGGGTAATAATCAGTTCAGAAATAACACAGGATTACAATTTAGGGGATAATATCCACCGAAATAGATGAAGCGAGATATCTCTTCGCGGAGATTGTGCCACTGTCATCCAAGACGGCCAGCCGTCGGGTAGTCAATCACATGATTTGGCGCAGCTGTGTGTCAGCTGACCGATCAGCCAAGTCAACGGGTTCAAGGGAGATATTCCTACACCTTCGGGGCATTCAATCCGGACCCTATGTAATCTCTTTCAGACCATATTTGGTCGCCGCATTATATTTGCCGGGCTATCTAATCATGACAAAAGGATCCTTGGTTACCCCACTTGGAGATCGATTAGATAGATTCTGTGACAGCTTCAAATCGGTTTGCGACCATTTAAGTCTACCGTACTCGTCAGTTTCTTTGCATCAGTTGGATAGCGAAGGTGAGTGCCTGTTAATAACATCAAGGAAGTTTTCTAATTCTCTAGATTTGCAAAATCTAGCTCTTGATCTTGTGTCGGTGCTGAGAAGCGTCCCGGATATACGAAATTTGCCGTCCGTCAATACCCGGAAGAGCCTCTTGAGTGATATCTTGAGGCTTAATTCTGTCATCAGCTCCGAAGAGTATGATATTCACCAGCTCATTCCATTACTTGGCGATCATAATCAAAGAGCCGGATGATATAATCTGGACTAAAATCCACGCCGCTCTCGTTGAATCTACTCCTCCACCGAAACCGCTCCCTATCCTTAATCAAACTCCGTACCTACATACCACAAGCAGTTTTATCAATTCATCCGAACAACAAAAGCATGTAGAGCTGTGCTGAAAGAGGAGCTTGGGCCAATCTACACCGGTATACGAGGCTTTTACGAAGCATACTTTGGGAACATAGAAGGCTTGGAAGAAGCTGGTGCCGCTGTTTTCAGAAGAAGCCAAGAAGGTGATAACCCCGTATTCACTAAAGATGGATGGCGGAAGTGGCCTGAGAGTGCAAAAGAAAAAGATGTCTTGGATTGGCTCGCTCCCTTGGTCAGGGACCTTCGCAACTTGGCGGTAGAGGAAGGATTTGACTTGACGGCCGACCGTGAGGTCTTAACACAGCCAAATCGACCATTAGACGGATCCACAGCCGATCAAAAGCTAGATACTGGTATTGTGTATAACTCAAATTCAACTAACCAAACGAAATACGGGTGGTCGCAAATTTTAGTCATTGGGGAGTTAAAACGTAATCCGAAAGAAGATACGACCTCAAAGACCTGGCGCGACCTGGGGCGCTATGCTAGGGAGGTTCTCACTGCCCAGGATACACGCCGATTCTGCCTCGGATTTACGCTCTGCGGGTCAGTCATGCGACTTTGGGAGTTTGACCGGCTAGGGGCTATCGCTTCGTCACCTTTCAACATTAACAAAGACGGGCTGAGATTCGTTTCATGCATACTGGGTTTTCTTCGAATGGATGATGTACAGTTAGGACATGACCCGACCATTCGTTCTTCTCCAGACGGGAAAAGGTTCGTTGAGATTGTACGCGATGGACAACCAGAATGCCTTATCCTTAAAGGCATCCTGAAACGATCAGTGTGCGTCGCTGGCAGGGCTACAACCTGTTGGATAGCCTGCCGACAGGGAGACAAGACGAACGCGCCGCTCGTTATTAAGGATTCATGGCAGTATCCGGAGCGAGAAGAAGAGGGCAAGCTTTTGCATCAAGCAGCCAAGAAAGGTGCAATAAACGTGGCTACATATTATTACCACGAAACTGTCCACGTGAACGGAAAAGTTAATAATATTCGTGACAATGTTCGTAAGGGCTTGGACATGATGCAGTCGACGAACTACAAAACGGCACATCCCGACCTTCCCTCGGATGCCCGTGACGGAGTAAGAATAGGAAGAACAGGCCGCTCAACGAGCACAGCAGGACGCAAGAGGTCGTCCAGTAATACAGGCGCAACACTACCATGTAGCAAACGCCCATGCTCAACTTCACCTTCTAAGGGCGGGAGTAATACTGAGTCACAAGATAGGGTACATCGTAGGGTCATCGTCAGCGATTACGGCACACCTATCTATAAAGCAAGGACACGTGTTTCACTGCTATCTGCACTTGAGAATTGCATTGAAGGTGAGCATGATTTATCTCTATTGAATTTCGTAGCCAACCCCTGAAGGCTACGAATCTTTGCATTTAAAAGCAGGATTTTTACAGGGCGATATCTCGACTAGTAACCTTGTTTTAAACGATAACGAAGAGAATCCATCATGGTCGGCGTTTCTAATAGATCTTGACCTCGCTATTCAGGAGCGTCGAGAACGGCCCTCTGGAGCTAGAGGAAAGACAGGAACGAGAGCATTCATGGCAATTGGTTTGCTCCTCGGTGAGAAGCACTCCTTCATGCACGATTTGGAATCTTTCTTCTGGGTCATTTTGTGGATTTGCATCCACTATGATGGACCAAGCGTGGCCAGAGTCGTGCCGAGGTTTGAAAAGTGGAACTACGTAGACATGGAAGAACTCGCCGAGTTGAAGAAAGGTGCTGTAGCTCATGAGGGTGATTTTATCAGCATGGTGAATGATAATTTCACTGAATTTTATAAGCCGTTGGTGCCTTGGGTGAATCGTTTACGGAAGGTGGTTTTCCCTAGCGGGGGACGATGGGAAAAAGAGAGTACAGAGCTATATTCACGGATGAAAGACGTTCTCCAAGCAGCGTGTAAAGATCCTAAGGTATTATGTGAATAGATTCGACTTTTGACGGAGAATGCTCAAAGTCGAAAAGACGAAAGATAAAGTAGTTATATCAACATTAAACTGGCATAAAATACTGACCTCAAGTCCAACACGCTCTGGTACGTACCTTGCATCTATCTTATTACTGCTCATCTCTTCACGAGAACGTCCTGTCTAAACCACTATGATTTAAGCTGCTGGAAAATTGAAACCTCTGCTATATGCAATTTTTTTTGAACCCCGATAAACTAAATTGAGTCCCCACTATTCCCTAATGAATAATTGATTGTACTGGGTTGGGTCTGAGAGGAGTATAGTAATGTCCAAGGATCTCAAAAGTCGTTCACCTACGTTGTGATTTCAGGGGAAAGATGGGCAGATGGGCAGAATGAGGCTGTATCAGCTACACGTACGTAGCCTACTGAGGATCAGATGCCATTTCGATAGATACTCGATTCTATGGACGACCTATCGACAGTCTCAGCCACTTCTTCTCACTATCTACTAATAGGTCAAGCCTTCAGGGGTTCGAGCTCGGTGATCCGGCCAAGCCACTATGATCACATGGTCTCCTATAGATTCATATCAACCTAGAACAGGGTACATACAGTATAGCGAAAGAATTAAGCATGATGTCCAGAAACAGGTAAAGCCCACAAAGTCCGCTTCCTTCTTTCCTGGTAGTAAAGTTGCGTGACAAAGATTCTAACAAAGCAAGTACTTGTTAGACATAGCATAATTCCAAACAGTATATATAGCATTCAGTTATGCACTTTTGCTCTATGGGCCACATTAGTTTATCACAACACTAGATTGTGTCAAACCATGGATGGTGCACGAACTGTATCAGCCCCACTGGCTGATTGACTGCTTTTCGCTTCTTTGCCAGACTCTTGTGCTTCTCTTCTGGCACGGTTCTCTGCTCGCTTCTTCTGGGAGGACCTGCCCGCATCAACAATGGCTGATATGGTATTTGACCCGGCGTCTGCAATGCGTTCATTGACAGCACGACGACTATCAGCTTCATTGTTGGACATGGTGTAGGTAAAAGATTTGATACTAGTTAATATTTAGAATGATGGAGGGAGGTGATTTTTGTTTGAACAGTTGCCTGATAGCAGCATTTATATATTCTTTTTCGCCTCGACTATGGTTCATTCTGAGCAAATAGTACTCAGTATTTGGCGTTTACTTAATTTGGAAATCGATCCGCTAGCGCTTTCATCCCATGCACCTCAATGACTTTAGTGGCGTTGTCTGATATCATGCTATAGGCTACCTTAGGAACTGAATCACATTAAGTGCAGCTTGCATGGGACTTACGTCTGACTGGATTTGACACATCCTGACATATTCTAACACATTCTGACACATTCTGACTCTTTTCCTCATTTATTTCCTTTATAGTTCCTAATCTGACCCAATATTGGCAAATTGGTTTGAATGCGCCGCAATATTCTCGAGGCTTATTCTCTCTGTGGAAGACTAACCTCGACGAGCCGACCACCCCAGATTACTCTAGGCCTTTTCTTCGTTGGACAATAATACTGCGGAATAATCTGCCTAGCTTAAGGTGCTGTTGACACATTAATCCACTTAATTATAGACATCTCAGCGAGTCATAATTGGGGAATTAAGCTTGCATCCATTGGTGTTCCCATATCTGGAGTAATTTGTTTTTCCTTTCCCATGATGACAACAACGGCTTGGCGGTCTGTGAACAAATCACGTTACCATGCTTGAAAGACGAAGTAGCCACTGCCTATACTCTTGTTCACCATGTGTACTACTTGATTTCCGAGCAACATTTTTCTTTCTTTTCTGTATTGTGAACCACACCAAAGAGACCATTCTGCCATGGACTACAATAAACCCCTAGACTTGCTTCACGTGGCGGAAGAGTCTGATTGGGTCAGAAAGGTAAATATGGCTCGCGTTGACGGACGAATTTGCGACTGGGCCAGAGGCTTTCATCCCAAAAATAAGCCATGCCGGTTGGATGGTGGCTTTTTGAATGGTTCATATAATCTTGGCCAAAAGATTATATTTGACGATGGTACGACCTGGTTTCTACGTCTGCCTCGCGCTAGCAGCATTTCGCCAGAATATGCAGATGAAAAGGTAGCTATAGAGGTGGAAGCTCTTTATCTCTTCCGGGAGAAGACATCGATACCTGTCCCGGAAATCTACGCTTGGGGCTTTGCAAGGGAGAACCAACTGGGTCTGGGCCCATTCATACTGATGAGTTTCATCAATGGCGTCTGCCTTAATGACGTGTTTGGCGGAAATGGTTCAAGACTGCTTAAGAAAGAAATTCCAGATGCGGATGTCGAATACATTTATAGGCAGATGGCACGCTTTATGTTGCAGATTTTTAACATCGATTTCGAGCGAATTGGCAGCTTGCCCACCCCGAAAACACAATTTCCGGCGCCTATTCGTCCACTTACGTGGAAGGTACACGAGATCCTGAGAGTAGGGGGTGTTAATACCTTTGGTTCGTGCCATGGATTGAAATAAGAATTTTTACTAACTGCCATAGACAATCGAAACGATGGTTTCTCTACGACTGGAGAATATTTTCAGTATGTCAACAGACAGGATTGGAACCAGCTACTGCTTCAACCGAATTCAATTGCAGGCCCGCGGAGTGCCAAATCGAGATACGCGTCTTTGAAGATATTGAAGTCTCTTATACCCGAATTAACTAATAAAACCTATGATCGGGGCCCTTTCAAACTCATCTGCGACGATTTCGGCCTAGCAAATGTGATTGTACGGAGTAGGGATGACCTTACAATTACCGGAGTAGTGGATCTCGAGTGGGTTTATGCTGGACCAGCTCAGTTATTTGGTACGGCTCCCTGGTGGCTTCTTCTGGACAGGCCAGTCAACGATGAGTGGGACTTCGAGGAGGGAGAGGCTCCGAAAGCGACTGACCGATACTTCAAATGTCTGGAAATCTTTAAACGAGTGCTGGCGGAGGAGGAGGCGAAGATGAGCGGATTCCACGGTAACGAGCTCTCTGATCTCATCAAGTGGTCTGAAGACTCTGGTGCCATGTGGTTCCATATGCTTCTGTCGAGCGGCTTTTTTGATACTCCTAGCTTCCCTTGTATGCAGTTGCGGAAGCATAAGGGCGAGGAATGGTGGGATAGAAACTTGGACGATTACGCGAATGAAGAGGAAGTAGGAACTTTCATTACCAGCAAGCTGGAGGGCTTAGAAGCCTATGACAAGGTCAAGGATACGGTTGAACACTGCAAAACTCTCATGGACAGCGGGAAGATGACAACGGGGGATTTCATTAATACAGTTGGCCCTCTTCTCCATTCTGGTCGATAGGTAGGCCAATTCGGGTACTATTTCTTTGTGTCAATATCATTGACATGCTCTTGCTTCATATAGATAATTTACGCGATTTGGTGCACAGTGGTGTTTGCGTTACCATAGGGGAGGGAGGTACGGACCCTTGCTTTTGCGTTACAGTTGGATCTCAGAACGCATTAGTGCCCAACGAACAAAGAATGAGGTCTGAACATACTTGCTCGAGCCCCGACAATCCTATATCATTTTGTAAGATAGTATCTGAAGAGGCTTGTGGCTATACTGCCGTCAAAACATTTCTTATTGTTCATCCCCATGGTTGTAGTTCCATAACTTATCAAATCATCGGAGTTTTATTTTCCCGGTTCTAGCCGGCCCCTCACTTTTCCCAAGTGCCCCTCCACCGAATGGAGCAAATACACTATCAGGCGCTTGGTTTTTGTCAGTAAGTTCATGAAATCCCTCAGTCCTACTTGAATATTCCCAAGGCAGAAATGGTTATCTTGGGAAAAAGAATTAGGCATCATTGCGGAAGACTGATCATGTATTTAAGAACAAATAGGATGAAGCTGTTTTTTCTCGATAGCCCAACTGCCTCGAGCACTCGATTTCTGGAAATCTGCGCCGTTTACGTGTGATTCATCAATCAGGTGTCAACTTATTCCGCTGCAAGTCTGCTAAATCATTCTTACAAGGTGGCAAGGTTCATTTTTCGTCATTCTCCCTGCATAACTGACTACAAAATATAAAGTGAGTACTTCTAGCGACATGCGTCCAACGGGTTGATTGTATTTTCGAGAGATATGAGACAAGATGCTAGCTACCATTTAACACTAACTATTAAAGTCGCGAAGCTGAATCTAATGGATTTGGATCTACAGTTTTAAATAGTTCAATACCGTACTCCTTTACAAACTTTTTTTTGGTACACGTTACACTTGGGCCATTATGGTGGTAAAGAAGTTCAAAACAAGAGGCTCAACAGATGATGAGCTTGTGGAAGAATGCATGGATGAGGTAGTATTGCCTTTTCCTGAACTCTATAGGGTGATTGGCTAATGATTGCAATCAATACAGGTTAAATGTGATAACTGCGGTATCTCTTGGACAACACCAGCAAAAGGCAAAAGAATAGATCCGCCTGACGATACTGTGGCAATCGTTATTGATGTTGTGAGTGAAAAGGGGCGAATAAGGATATACGAGAAAGAGAATGATGTGCATCCACTCGATGGCGTTGGGATAGAATGGACCGGGGACATGGTCATGGTTCCTTGGAATAAAAACTGGTGGTTCAGAGCATCGGGAGCTCTCCCGGTCGGCTATATTACCGGGAGGATAAGCGCTGGTTAGAGATCTATCTCAAAATCACATCACTCGTCGCCGTTGTATAATCAATCGACGCGTCAACTCATCGGATATCGGTATAGTTATGAAGGATGACGTATTCGCGTAAGTGTCGGTCAGCCACGCTTTCCCCCGGATGTGTTCTCTGGACCTGAGGGCCTGCTCAATATCGCCTATATCAAGTTCATAAACGTCACCAGTAGTAGTCACTACGAGGAGTTAGCAGTTTGCATGATGCTAGGCTAATTCTGGTCATACCTGTTGCATCTGTCTCGTCAAGGTCTTGAGACAGATTATCGTGGCGCTGAGGAAAGACTGCCTATTGTTAGCATTATTCTATCGTGGAAACTTTTCCCTCACATCTAGCGAAGTAGATATCTCCAAGACTTCGGAGAACGCCGCACTCGAACTCTGCACTTCTTTCTTTCATCTTGTGGGGTAGCTCTACTCTAGCACGGTCTCTCATTCTCGCTACATTAGAGCACCCAATGGTAGCGGCACACAGAACCACTTTGTCTCGTCCCAGGACTGTATTTACCTGCTGGAGGAATTGCAAGTAAATAGTTCGCTGCTTCGCGGCTCTGGTGTCTTCAGCAGGGGGACCAGTAGCCAATAATGTGAAAGCTTCGACAACACGATTCTCTTCTTGCGTCTTTAGCCCAGGGCGCATTTCTATCAACTTGGAAGAGTCGATAAGTTTAGTAACGGCATCTTCGGCGGTGAGTAGTTGGGGAGGCATCTTTGTTGTTTTCCACTGGAGAGTAACTCGAAAACAAAGGTGAAGGAGATGAAGGTACAGCAGGGTTAGAAATAGTAAGAATGCGGGGTAAAGAGTCATAAAAGGTCACATATGACATGATCTAGTCAGAAAATGTCAAAAAATGTCAGAAGGTGTCTGACTGCGTCATATGATGCCAAGATACAGTATGGTGGAACCGCTGTTCAGAAAACTCACCAATCACCATTGGTATCACATGTACTTAATGCACCAACATTGAGATAATCTCCGCAGCAGTTTCTTGCTACTGTTCTATGTGCTACTCAACGGGCTATCGTACAAACTTCCACCTACCACAACCTGACCAGCTAAATGTAGGGTTGTAGTCTCCATAGTGACAATCTCAGAGATATCCTTTTACGGAATTTTTTCATTGGCTAATGCAAAGAGATTTTTGTCTCCCACCTTTCCCCTCCTGGGCAAGTCATCTGTAGGGTATCGCAGTACAAACGCGGTTGACCAAGTAAATATAAATAAATCTAACCAATTTACGAACCGTCAATGTGATATGCATTCAATTACGGGGAACAAAAGATCAAAGCAGTAAGGCAATCTACTTATGGGTAGCTTCTAGCTCACAACGCGCAGGAATGAAACCTGTTGTGATCAAACCATCATTCGAAATTCAGCACGCAGCGGCCGGGAGATACCAACTTGGAACCATCGAGCGATGTTTTCATCTTCCTATAGAGACGCTGTTAAGCTCTAGGGAGGGGGCTATCGCTCTTCTCCAATACGGAGAGATTTTACGGACTATCCCAAGCCTGTGGAGACTCCCACGGCGATGTGAAAATTGGACCTTGCGGCACGAAATGCATATCTCATTGGAGGGTGATCGGGCCATTGTGGTCTATGGGTTTAACCGCATCAATATGCCAGCAGAGGCGTTACGCAATTCCTATGTCGGTAGGATACTTCTGAACTCAAATAACGGTATTTGGGTGACTTTGGCACAGGCCCTCTGTGCTGGGGTTCGAAAGAATTGCCGCCGCATTGTTACTCGTATGACCTGGAGGATACGTCGGTTTTTGTAGGGATTAGGGATGATGTATGCAGCTTCTACATATTTATTAACACATAGTGAAGAGTACTTTGTGCTAGAGGAAATTACAGAGGCAATCGTAATCGCTGATGCGAAGTCAGTTTACGCTAAAAATTATGGCTTCCTTCTCCACTGACCAGGCCTAGAACTTGTTCCATGGGAAATCTGCGAGACCATCTAATGCTGGCTACTCGGGGGTATAATCGGACTTTGTCTGATATTGTCAATAAGCAGATTATAAGGACCAAGCATTGCTCAAACTCTCACCGCATGTTCTCCCCAGCCAGTTTATTCTGGATGTCACTATCCTTACTCATTTGAATTGCTCCTGCTTTCTACCAATCTTCGACGCGAGTGCCGATCTTTTCCATTATGGCTTGCATCAACCTTCTTCAGTGGATCGAAAGGTCTTGGTTGTCTGCACAACTGTTTCCCACGGTACGCCTTGATCCGAACCGCAGGTCACCTACATCTTCTGGAAACGAAGAAATCAACCAATATGAATATGTTCCGCCCCAACCGATGGTGGCCAACAGTATTTCCACTATACGTTTACCAAGTAAAGCTCGACTGCCCAGGAAGACGACAGTAAACCCAGCGCCACACGTCCTTTTCTCGAACGAGCAATCGTTGGATGCAGCTGATCAGGAACGTCCTCAAGTTTCTAGTCTTAATAATCAAATGGTTGTATGGAAACTTCGATATGGCATAGTGGAAATACGTGGGGGTGAAGAAATGGATGGCGAACTATTGTGTGATGTTCGTCAAGATACGGAGCAATGGGAAGAGACCAACGGCATGCGTACTACCCGCCTTTCTTTCAAGCATTTCTACTATCCCCTGGAGGATTTAAAGGGCCACTATGTTGGAAGAAAGCTGTTAGAGGCCTGGAAACGTACACAGCAGGACTTGAGGAAGCAGGAAACCCTACCATTATGCCACAAAGATATTGCTGATGATGATCTGCTTATACTCCCTTAACAACATCTCTTTATGTTTCAATCTAGGATCAGTTCCTTCGCTGTTAACCAATCGCATATCTTATTTAAAAGGGCCCTGTAGACTTGAAGAGGCATCTCAAGCGTCGTTCAACGAGGTCTCGAATTCATATGACTAGATTGACGCCACTTGTAAATTAAGTTTCCAATGTAGTTACCTTAGCTCTTGACATGTGTTGGTAATCAGGTCTTGGCTGCGCGAAGCTTCCTTTCGTTACGGATATATTTGTCCCTAGTATACTCCTTTGGTGAGTCTGCTGGTGAGCTGAATTCCCCAGAATCTACCTAGAGCATGTTTCGATCATTTTCCCATACCAGCTAATCCCTAATTGGCCATAGAATCCATACCTCGAAGTACGTTCACAATGGGTAGAAGCATACAACCCAACTTGGATAAAAAGGCCGGGGCGCCACCACCGCCAAAACAGAAGATCTCTCAATCTTCTTTTTGCTCGCTCTTCTCTTTCCGTGGTTTAGCCATAAGAGTGTGACTATTTTCTTATCCGTATCTTTCGCTTGTATTTACAATTATAAATATGTTGAATTAGAACGAAGCACAGATTTCCAGGAACCCTTCTGTCACACATACATATATCAAGATCCGACTACACTCCATAAGCCGGGAGTAAATTATTAAACTCAGCAATGTCAACGGAGTCCCTCCTAGTACTAGTGCTTATTTTATGGTTTCTTTTTATTACTCTGACTCTCCTTTCCTACTGTTGCAGGGAGCAGTCCGATGAACGTTTGGTTGACCTGCCGCTACCTGTGACAAGGTTTGTCCGTCTTATCCTGGGATAGGTAACATGAAATTGGCTGATCCATTCTAGTATATGCGCTGCAAATATTGGCTAGACCTGTTGCCCCATGCCTGGCCGAAGCACCACAGCCTCGCTTCTGGTTTAATCGGACGTCAGATTGATTGCAGGCCAAGGGCTTTCCCGGAAAGAAAAAGGGATAGGGAAGAGGAGAAGAGGATATGGGTGGTGGACTGAAGCACTCAGGCTTGGGCTAGGTAATTTTGTCTATTAAATTACAGTTCCAGGAAATACTGTTCAGCCTTGCTAGCCGCTTATAAGCACTAGAATATGATGGAATAACTCTCGATTCTGCTAGGCTATAATCATGTATCGGAAACATAGAAAGTATTATGTAGAAAATTTGTCGCTTAGGACCAATTACGATAGGTAAAGCGCAGCCTTGTTAGTCTATTCCAGGCACGGCTCAGATACAAACAGGGTTCATATTTTCCTCCTTTTCGATAAATAAATCCCTGTAGATAGTAGTACTACGAAGCTATTGGTGCCTATATTTTCGCTAGAATAGTCTATACAGCCCTGGGGAATGTCTTGCTGATTGTGATCTTTAGAAAACAATTTTGGCCCTAGTAATTTCTGTACTTAAATTATACAACCTAAACCTTTACTCAGTATGGTCAGTCAGCCAAAGGAAAGAATAAGAAGCGTGTCTTGTTCGTATCTGGAATGGAAAGCACGTTGGATGTTTGGTTTTGTCGAACCATTTTTAACCTGCGTTGGAAACAAGTATTTTGCAGCAGTGGGGTCTCTTTATATCTTTTCTTCAGCACCCTTTTCACCAAAGAATCGTTTACTTCATAATGAAGAGGTTGTCTTTGATGTGGGATGGGAGTTCCTGGCCGAAGCAGGCAAAGAAATGCACGAGATGCAGCAATCTGAAGCTTGAGGTAAGCTGTTTTATCTGTTCTATAGACAGTGTACCATCTAATTCCCGTAGTGCTCGAAAACGGTTCCATGTTCTTGGTGTAATCGAGATGGAAAGCTGTGCTTGCCGCGAGTGTTTCATAGGATGAAAGACAGTACTACAAGTCCAGTGTCATCTGAACCAGCCCCTGATCCACGGGGCCCCTCCAGCCCGTTATGCCAATCCCACAAGAACATTCAAATCTGCATAGTCAGCATTGCCGCAATTCGCCACCACATCCGGCTCAAGAAAGTTCGCCTCTGGTAGACATGGCCACATGGGGCCCACAGGACAAATTGTATCCACCGAGAACGGTATTTTATCCAGATATTACCTGGACCCTTTGTTCTGCGGTATTCCAAAAGTCCCCCATTCTGTGTCCTATGACGAAAAAGATCCTGAATGTGAGATAGTTCATATTGTTGCATATGTGCAGTGTATGTGCATGAACAAGATTGCTTTCAGGCTTACCTCGGAGACCATGAACGCATTGATCAGAGTACATAGAATTATTTATTCTGGATATGAAGCTACAAATGTGCAAGAACTGCATCAGATGCAAGGTCAGCTTGTGTCTCTTTATGCACAGTTTGCTGGGGCAATCGGCAACTTCGTCTACTGGACCGACTTCCAAGCTCTTGATGGCTTGGAGAAAGATGGTACCGGTAGGCTACTGGATCCAGATCGTGCCAATGTGTATTCTAGAATCAGGGAGCTTTTCTTTCCTCTGTTGCCATTGTCAGTTAATGGGACCTAAAATTGATACTGAGGTCGATACATCCTGTAAATTACTATAGCCTTGAGCTATTAATATTAGCCTACCTTTAATCACACTGTGTATATACTGTCTAGTCCAATCCAGCAGTTCCTAAGTGGCCCACTGGCAGTTCTTCATCGAAAATCATGGCCTTGCCGTAAACAGGAGCGAGGAGGTACCAAATACCGTATAGAAGCTCTATAGAAAAGGCCCTAAGAATGTCGAAATATGTCATGTACCGTAAAAGAAGTGGCTGTATTGGTTATGCTATCTTAACTTTCCCAGACTTGAATAGTTTAAAAGGCCTAAAAACCTCCACTACTGGTAAATGAAGGCCTGTGAACTGTCCTCCTTGACTGTACAAAAATACCCTTGCCGCATTAGTCATCCACTTGTCCAAGGAACAACATGGATCATCTTACGGTGGGCACCCAGAAATTCTCCGTGGAAGAAGCACAGATAGTGATGATGGAGCCACTGGGTTACTTGTGTCTCGGTACCGAGCCCCCGCGAGAGGATGTTGTAAAGGAAGTGGAAAAGGTTTACGAGCGAAGTCCGAAGAGCGTCTCCCAGTCATTTCAATACTGTAAGGGAGGAAGAGAATGTGAAATCTTTTTGAACTTGGACAAGCAGGTGCGTACCCTCTTCTAACACCATAGAACTATGGACTGACTTCCAACTAAAGGTCATAACTCTGATTGAAAGGACACTGGAGAAGCCATTCCACGATTTGAAGGAACAAGGGCCCGTGATTGTTGAGTTTATAGGCACCGATATTCCAATCCTCGAAGTAGCGACAGCACATCCATCACGTGATGCGATATCCGTCCTGCGTCCGCTAAGAGAGTCGGCGCACTGGGGTAATGGGCTATTCGGTCTGTATTCATGCACCCATAACCTCAGTATGGAACAGTTTCAAGGTATAACTGAAAAGGATATACATGAAATAGTCGTTGAGCCAAGTGAGACACTATTGGTCTCCGGTGGTCTCCGTGTTCGCCCATCAACAAAGGGAGGAGTACGCATGGTCTGGCAAGGCTTCTCGAAACGTCCAATGCTTCATGATATCTCTTCACCTTTAGCACTTCCATTCATGACAATATGACCGATATATCGTACGCTTGACTGGTATGCGGCAAATAGGCTTGGGAAAATCTATCTTCACTGAGGGGAGGTAGGAGAGACGGCTGATAAGGACTCCTGTACAAGAGTTAGTTGACGGATCGCGTCGATCAATTCAAGGGCTGCTTCAAACCATTTTAAATGTATAGTAATCTTGGTAATCTATAAGTTCTGGGGTAACCCTGATTGCGAGCCATATGATCTCAGGATATGCTCCATTCTTCAGTAGGCAAATAGCGTTCGTTACTTCAGACTCGTAGAAGTGTGGGAACCTGGCCAGAACAAAAATAAATACAAAAGATATACCTTGGAAGCCAACCTCTCGCTCTATTCGAAGAAGCTTTTGCCCTGTCTCGAGCCATTTTCGAGCAAGAGGCGTGTTGGGAAGATTTTGCTCTAGCAGAAAGGTTGGCCGCAAACCAAGGTTGTCAGGTAGGTGGAAATTGACTGTAGCTGGCTCTGATTTTTGTCCTAGCCAGATCTCGTATTGCGTTGATAGATATCGGAGAGCGAGCAGTTTCTTAAACAGCGTAGCTGGTGCGGTATTTTTGCCTTCCTTGGTCAATAAACAAACTGTCCTAGCATCCTCCCCGGGCTCATATGGGCAGATCCGTGTGATCTCAGGGGTTTGGTCTTTTTTGGCGAAACTCCTTATATCGTTTAGTGTATTTCGTACAATGTCAAGGAGTGGTTGGGCTCGGCTGACCCTCCTACACTTCGGTAGGTCAACCATGGGTGCGCCAATAGGATGCGATTCCGTCCAGGTCACAGAGTATCAGAGAAGGGGGAGTCAGAAGTCCGTGTAGACATCATATTTTGACATAGTGTAGTTCAGTAAGTGTTGCCAGCTGGTAGGCTCAGATATACCTGAATAAGGTGGATCATGTGTAATAATATGATTGGATGATTTTACTGCGCTAGGACTATTATAGTATCGTCTACCTACATTTGGTCTCCACGACCATAGTGTACCGCCCCAATATCGGCCGCAAACCACAGGCGCACGTCGTAATGACTGCGGTGCGGTATCCACTCTGCAGCTAGGCACCTTTAGTTTGCGCTTAGGCGAAAGAAATCGAGAAGTTGACCAAGGTTTCAAGGACAATGCCTATGCACCCGAACAGACCCGAAGCATATGAGAACGCCATACTCGCTAGTTTGCTCTAGACCTGGCCGAAATTATATACACTAAGAAAATATTTTGGGAGTATGTAACGGTATTTACGCTCCATGTTCTCACTGGGGTTGGAGATGGTGGTTCTTTCCGTAGCTTATAATGAGGGAAGAAGAATGGCGGTTTTGAGAGTCCTTATTTAAATTTACACTTAATTCTGCACCCTGCTCTTTGACGGGGTACAATGAACCAACAGTCGCCTTTGTCTCAAAGCTCCGTATCTGATTCAGCCTATGGCTCTGATATTGGGTATGTCCGCATATGCATCTGCCTTGCGTATCCTAGCCGCTGCCTTAACTGACTTTTCAGATCCACCGCATCGCTCGATGATGAATACCTTGAAACGGATTACAAGCATGGCAGAGTCTATGCAGTGTTGTATCAACATCAACACCCATGGCCTATTGATGAAGTGTGTTTTCCGCCACCCTCATTGAATTATTGCTGATATCGTGGAGGCGGAACAAGATCGGCTTGGTAACACCCAAACACACACCAATCCGGGGTCTGTTCTAATGTACACAGGAGAGCAATTCGAATTGTACTGTGAATTATTTGACAATAAATTAGCCCATGTGTCAATTGATAGGCCATTAACCGTGCTTGATGTTAGGTCAGGAACTGGCTGCTGGGCATTGGAATTTGGTTAGCATAGTGTCTCCCTTTTTGCCCTCTCGGTTCATTCTTCTCCCTTCACCCCCTTCCTCGCGCCAAGGATTACGTTTGTCTCAAATTGCGTTGCTAATATTTTCTGTAGCTGATAGGAATCCTGGGACCGAGGTATATCGACTTGTCCTTTTCACTATCAAGCCTAATATTGATTATTTAGGTACTTGGTATTGACTTACTCGCCCACATGATGCCCAGATGGTTGGTATATCCATGTATATATATTTATAATGTATATGAGGCTAATATACCAGGGTACCGGCAAATTGTGAATTCGTGGTGGAAAATCTGACTAGTTCTCACTGGCATCAAAGCTATAAAAATGTTGACTTTATCCATATAGGAGACATTGGTGGTGATTACCAACTTTTATCAATTCTTCTTAGCGGCTCCTATAAGTAAGCTTTGCTCGAAAGGGTACTCATTTACCATCCCTAATTGATCATTTAGGTGTTGTAAACATAAAGGCATGGTTGAGATTTGGGGCACTAGACTCCAGCTGGACGACCCTGATGGCGACAGTCCTCTCCACACATTGTATAAAAACATGGAAAGAGCCTACCAGTGAAGCGGACGATTTCTCTATTTGCCTTCAATATATGTGAATGAACTGCACCGCCACGTGTTCATCAATACGAATGAACATGTCTATCGTCTATCACTGCGAAATATATCTGAAGACTCCATTGAGAGCAAAATCATCTCCAACTGGGCACGCGGGCTAAACGCATATTGTCTGGAATTGATGAGTCAGTTGCGAGGGAGACAGACCCTTATGACATTGCTTGAATGTGCTGCAGCTCGAAGTGCTTTGGCCGCGGGTGTCAATGGATTCCTTGAAATGTACGTATTCTTTCTCATGATAGCAGGGAACTAGCTGAGTATAGTTGGACAGCCGCGTCGCCTATGGACAGAAGCCAACTGAGGGTTGAGATAGTATGACTGTATATATTACCCAGGGAAATTGGTTCGGGGACTTTGGCTCTTTTAGTTGCATAGTAGAAACACTGAACCTACGTTTGTCATAAGTGATTTGGCGCTGGATATGAGGAATAATTAACATAATGGATAGTCATTCCTGTAGCTTTAGAATTCATCATTCTCCAGTTTCTATTTAGTGGTGGATAAGAAACAAACTGTATATTACATGAGTTCGACTCTAGTACAATACTAATGATCAGTGGAATACTAGATTCCAGTGAATGTGAACGGATGTACACCAATATACAGACATTATCTGTATAGCAAGTACTGTCTAGAACCTAGCTTGATCTGTGATCACCAGCCACGTTGCATTGAGACCATACCCAGTGGAACAGATCAATGACTGGGCTTTGGTCAGACATATGTCACTTCAAGCCGCTACCTGATTAGCCAAAGGGGGGTACTGGGATCCAATCCAACAGGGAAAGTTACACTAGCTTCTCCTGACCGCGCTCTGTCATCTATTAGTTTAGTGTTATGTACGAGGATAGGATAGCTCGGGATCCGCGTTGTAGCGCTGACCGACAATTTTCGACAATCCACAAAACACAAAGTACCGACACTTTTTTTTAATTGATAATTGATTCAGGTTATTAATCATTGAAGAGGTTCTCCTTAGGTCATCACGTGGTAATATGGCTAATCAATATTTAAAAGGGACGTGGGTATCTTTTCCAACGCCCTAATCGATATTATCGATCAGCACCACAGTCAGCGAAAAATGGATGATAGCTACGTGTGAGTAATGCCTCTTATGTCCATTTATGTACACTCGTTAACCAAAGCCTTAGGCAACTCATTATTGAGCAAATTCCGTATGATCCCGCCTGGCACTCATGCTTAATGAGCAGACATCTACATGATCGCTTGGATTTGATTCAAAGATGTTCCCGAGATTTTCTGGAAAGTCAAGATGTATCTCGATTTGCAGTTGGTCTTGCCATTAGGCTATCCAGATTACGCCCAGAATTCCGTGGCAGTAGGACAACAGTGCACATGGACGCATATACTGTCATTCAATCTCTTCATTATGCTATACGAGGCTACACTTCCGAAAACATTTCGCCCGGACTTGCTCCAGCATCAGAACATGATCAATATTTCGTCTTACACCAACTAGCATTGGTCCTGTTATCTCAGTCAGGAACTGTCTCTAGCGCCATAGTTGAGTTAGTTCAAACTATTTTGGCACTGCATGACTTCCCTGATGTCCTATACGATTGCGACTTTCTCCACATGTATACTCCGCTAAGATGTTCGGGAAAGATGCATGAGAGGGCTTTATATAGTATTCTTCACCCATGGGTGTCCACTACATTCTTTCTGGCTGACACGTCTTTCCTAATTCACCAATTTTCTTCCGCTATTCCGGACACTCTTGATGATCTTATCCGGCTGAGAGACCCTATATTTGGTGTCATAACTGCCATTAGAGATGTCTTTTGGTTACTTTCGGAGGAATGGCTAGATTGGAAGCCAATTTATGAGGTCTCATTCTTGGGACCCATGAATCTATTCAGTAGCTTCGGTCTCCTTGGGACAATGGAACGACAGTTGTCCTACGTGAGATATGATCACACGCAATATATGTCGTCTTTCATGTGCATCTTCGAGTTCTTCGAAATGTGCAATCAACGAGCATTGAGCTCAATGTTGGATGATATCCAGCACTTGATGCAGAGAGGTTATCTTTGTGGGAGGCCCTCAGCCCAATCTAATCGTATGCCTCGGTTTCTTCTCCATTTGCGGCAATATCTACTGAGCTTGATTGACTACATTCGTCAACAAAGGGGGGGGGATAGTGGGTCAGAAGCCTTGGTAGCAACTTGATACTCTACCTGGTCTTATTTGGTTATTACCTATGATGTTTATAGTATCAGATCTGAAAATATTGTAGCATGGTGACCACTTTTAGGTCCTTTTCCACTCCTTATGTATTTCTATCATGAACACATTTCGGGTTTCCCTGTTGATTAACTGTTGGATGATTTATATTAAATTAATAGCTATGCATTATATTTATTGCATTGCTGGTAGCCCGGCACATAAATAAGCGATCGCCAAAAATAACAGTAACGGTGGTGAGGCAGACCTATAAGAATGTCACCCTCCACTTTTTTCTCCCTTATCATTACACATCTTACAGCCTTCCTTGCCTTCCAATTTTACTGAATATTTTCTGTTGCAGGCTGCCCACATTTCTCGATCATGCATTTACCCCTATATATCGTAGCCTATGGATTCAATTCCAATACTGCCATAACATTCTACTGTTTCCTTCTCTGGGTGATGTGCTATACAGCACCTCGCATTCCTACCATTCTCATTACTCTTGCAATCCCTGTTCTCCAAACCTGGAAACAGCGTATTAAGGTAGCTAATCAAAGTCAACCACGTCTTTTCCTAGCTAATGATTACAGATTATACGCTTGTTAGTCTGGATAGATGATGTTCCTGGGTTTAGACGGAAATACTTGTTTATGGCTGTCTCCATTCTCTCTCGGTCTATCCTTCTAACTTATCTGGATATAAGAGCACAGAAGCCTTTATACTCCCACATAGGTAGGCAAGCAAATCAAACTCACATATCTAAGGTGTTAACTCATGTATAGATAGTACAGTGGTATCCGAATTCCTCCTTTACTATGGGTTAAAGCAGTCTGTCTCTATCCCTCTCAACTATTGTATCTTTACAATACGGGATTCGATTGATAAGACCTTCCAGCAAAGAGCATGCAAAGTGGTTTTTGACTTGGCAGTGGATGGCGGGTCCATTGCCATGAGTCAAGCTGACTCAATCATGTTACTGGCATCTTGTAGAGGTGTACAATCTGCCTTAGCAATGGTGTCCCTGGATATTGTCTCGGCAATATTCAAACTGACATTTATCACCTACGATACATACTCGGAGCTTGGAGTAGGCGTCACTATCACAGTTTTTACAACAGTGGCTATTAAAGCAGTCGCGTCGCGATATATAATTAGCCTGTCATATAAGGCTCGGTTAAGATTTTATACAGCCAGGCAACAATGCAATCGCCTTCTAGATGAGCTGATGAAATCTAGAGAGCTAATTATTCTAAACAACCAGCAATTGCAGGAAATGGCACGATTCCTATCTCACAAGGATAGTGAACTATATCACTTTCACTCCACAATTCGTCCTACAGAGATCGAACCTCTACTTAGTGAGATAGTCACCTATGCTGGCAGAATAACTCTCCTGTTTTGGCTCAATTACCGATATGGAGGAACCGGTCAGAATTTTATACATATATTCAACTTTTGGTCTAGATTTTCCAAGAGCTTTGACAACGTTTCGAACCGTGTCTCCGGTTTTACTCATTCTATAGAGGCCGAGCATGTCTTTCAAGTCCTTTACAATTATAGAGGCGAAACGCAATCAGAGGGCGATCAATTACTAGAAAGTGATGGGAGCATTGATTTTCAAGATGTCTGCGTCTCTCACAACAAGAATACCTTTGCTTTGCGCAATGTAAGCTTTTCTGTCAAACCGGGTCAGACCATTGCTATTGTTGGCAGAAACGGTGCCGGGAAAAGCACTATTTTACGAACTCTTATGCGACTAATTGATCACGATAGCGGTGATATCAAGATCAGCAATCATGACATTCGCAGACTGACAAAGGAATCTGTCAGAGAGCATATTAAAATGGTCCCGCAGAACCCGGAGTTATTCTATGGCCAGACGATATTGACAAATCTTACTTATGGCTGCAGGCCCGATATTGATTATGAAACTGTTCAGGAAATATGCAAGCATATTGGCCTGCACGAGAGAATCTTAAGCTTCACACAAGGATATCAGACCGAGCTTCATCCATCTAATGATCTATCCGGTGGACAGAAACAGATTGTTGCACTTGTTCGTATCCTGTTGCAGAAGCCCTCAATTCTGGCTCTAGATGAGGCCACCAGCCAATTAGATAAAGCCACAGAGAAAACAATATGGAACTACTTGGACACTATCCAGAAAACAAAAATCATTGTCACGTATGTTATGCAGCTACTTCACTACAGGACTATAGCTAACTATGGATATTTAGACATCGGCTACAGGAAATCAAGAATGCTGATCAGATCCTTGTTGTTGAACAAGGTCAAATCGTGGGGAGGGGCACTCATAAAGAGCTGTTGGACAATGAGATCTATCAGTTACTTCTTGGCTCTGTTTAATAGAGAAGAACTTGCGTCTGAGGATGAGCATTATGAGCTGGTCCATGATAGTCATCGCCGTGCCTGTCGTTGTGTTATGTGGGAAATTTGTGGTAGTCCTGTATTTATGATCAATGGTTAAAGAGTATTCCATAAGTATCCACGGCATTTCTGCAGATTGGAAAAAAGAAGCTTACTTAACCCAGCAAATAGGCAGTTTTATGCTATATAAGAATCAAACAAACATAAATTCCAAACTACCTAGTATCCAATTCAATATATAGTCTTGTAAGGAAACACAAAAGCCTTAACATAAACCACCAAACAGAATATTCTCAAGTCCATAACCATAAGTTCCGCCTATCCTCCGAATACCATAACAGAGAGATCTTAAGCGGCGCAGTTTAATTCTCCATTGTGGCTGGATATTATAGTGTCTATTTCAATTAGTCACTACCCTGTAACACGTAACACAATCTCTAGACTCACCCAAATCAAATGGAAGAGAAGGCACAATAACTCCTCTGCCTTTGTAGCACATACACTGAAGCCGGGCTCCATCATGTAAACAGAAACTACAGCCCAAGTTTTGGATCATATCCATTCAATTGTCAGATAGATTTGTGCTATCTCTTAACACTTCCGTAAAGTTTCTTTTCGCGACCTCAAGTAAACTACTCCTATAGATACAAATATACATGATCCAAAATTCGGCTTTTGCATTTATCCGAGGCGATCCCCAAGAATCGTCCCTCCAATGCTAGATGCCTCCTATGAGAAAGTCGACATAGACTCTGGAGGTGGTGGATACATGCACGCAATGAAATAAACTGAGACATATCTCAAATTTTATCTAGAGATTCACTGCGTATCTTGGAATATTGAACTTGAAGAGATGCTTGGGTCCGATGTTTGAAGTGTTTCGCAACTTCTCGCCAGGGCAGACAGCGGCGACTTCTCAACTCAGTTAGCAGCTGATTCTCTGCAGGTGAATAAGGGCTTCGCTTATGACGCCTCCTGTGGATCGTTTGTCGCGAAGACTGACTTTGAGGACGACCTTCAGGGCATGATGATTGTCTAGGAGGCATATCTGGGCGTGGGGGTAGATGGTAAACATTATCTGGAAGGAATGTAATGAAGTATGTATGCCGAGGGCCGTGGGGTTGAATACGCAGAATTCCCCGGCCGAAGACCTCCTGTGCCTCGTCCGGAGTGCCGAAGCCACTACCTGATGAGTTCCGAAATGAGTTCTTGGTTTCCCTGATGGCGTGATTGGTCGAGGTTGAATCAGTTTCCGCTGCCTTCCTCGGCCGGACTGCATGTTTGCATCTTTTCCGCGGCCGTTCTATCTCAGAGCAAGATCGGTCATTATTGAAGTCCGGCGCTGCCGTACTACTGTTAGTATTGTTGTCCCCGCTCCCATCCTGTTGTACATGGCGTCGAACTTGGATTGGAGGGTCTTTTGTGGCACTGGCCATCAACCTATCGGACTCTCGGACTGGTATCACCACGGAAACAGAAGGCAATCGCTCTGGCCTATCGATATGTATATTTGGTCGAGGGCGAAGGGAACGTGTGCGCTTTGAAGGCATTTTCAAGGGTCCGATTGGGCGGGACTGATGATTGGAATGGGAAAGCTCAGGTAGTCGAACCTCCTTGGAGATTTTGTCGGCATTTGTGTTTGGTCGAGGGCGGAGGGAGCGGGTGCACGGCAAAGGTATTTCTGAGAGTCCGATTGGACAAGACTGATGATTGGGACGCGAGAGTACAGATGGCCGAACCTCCTTGGAAACATTGTCTTCCGCATCGCTAGGTGGACTGGACTTTTCGATTGAGGGTCTGTCATTTTGAACGCTTTGTGTAAGGACTGCCTTGTTGCTCAAGTACTCCGCTTGGTCTCCGCGGCTCGCGACCTCATTTATAGCATCCTCGACAACGGTTTCATCACATTGAATGGTTTCAGCGGGTGATACACCTCGAGGGTGTGGTGTTGTATCCGACAAGTCTGATATATCGGCTGCAGGTGATTGAGAGGTATATGCACTATGATCGCTTACTACTGAAAGGGATGCATTGGTCTTGGTGGAAGCCCTTGATGATAGGATACTATCTCGATGCAACTCCATGACAACAGATGGGCCTGTCATATATTAAGGAAAAGGTCAAGTATGGAGAGGAGGTGGACTATGCCTACCTGGACATTCTAGCTCTGCTCCTGTGAACGCTGGGTCTGAATAACAGCCAGCCTCCACCGATCGACACACCCCCCGGTCTGGCTGTTCCTGCAGGATATCCTGTTCAGGGGTAGATTGAGACGCTGTTTCACCGCTTCCACTAGCACTCGCCTGTGGTTGTGCTAGCTTTGGGATCATTGAACCTGATGCGACATATTAGCTAAGCGCACGGAACATGTCCACTGTGCATCCCACATACCAATACTTGACGTGTTCGGCTTTGGATGAACGTCTGTAACACCTCCATTATGAAACCCATGATCACCAGACCTCTCCAGATCTGCTTCGTGCACTGTTCTGGTGTTTCCCGCTATAGATATCCTCTCTAGTTCGACATCAAATTCATTGCGAACTGTTGTTATATGTGATTCAATATCTTCTCTTATAGAAGTCTGAAGTTGCTGGACAAGATTCTGTCTACTAGCCAGAGTTGGGACGGTCGACGCTGCAGGAATAGGTGGTTTGGGCGGGAGAGGGTGTGAAAGGCACTGTGATGCTGGAGGGGCTTGGTATGGCATCCAACGGGGAGTGGGCAAACTAGACAGAGGGGGTTTGGGAGGAGGGGGTTGACGGTAGAAGCTGATATTATTAAGATTGACATACATGGTTTCAGCGGACTTCGGAATGAGTTGTAAGGCCCAGAAAGGATGATGGGAAGGGGAGGAGGGGGGGAAAGGAGATGGTTTGACACTCAAAAAGGTGACGGAGAGATTCAAGTTGAAGCAGGGGGAAGGGCCAATTAAATAGGTACACGAGAGAGTCGTTTCAGCGCACACCTGAGCGGTTCAAACGAATAGCAGTGCATCGCCACCAGAACCCACAGTCATTGTCAGACTTCACGGCCGAGACTTCCATGTTCCTCGCAAAAAATCCAGATCAGTAAGATACGTTTTCTTTCGAATAATTGAACAATGGTGGCATTATTCTATTGGATGAATGAGGTGTCGCAGTGCCATGGCCCCTCCCGATGACTGTCACCCAGCTCATCCCAGTAACACTTATCGCACAAGATTCCGAAATCCCCAAATTCCAAGGTCCAGGCGGTATAGTTGAGGACCGCATTATCCTAGCCAGACCATCATGGCACCAATCGGACATAAGGGACATCTTGAAAAACCCAGTTTTGGTCAGAGAACTTCCCAATGCGTATGAACAATACGTCGCGCGACCCTAACGCAAAGCCCACATAGCCACCAGTAGATGTAATCGGGGATGCCGTCAACCCTTGAAGCCCGAATGTAACCATATTAGATCATATCCCACCAACCAGATCTTTTTACGGCCGATTCGGGGAGTTACGCAGCCCAATGCATGCTTTTTCGAGTGTAATCCGTAGTCGAGCCATGCAACTGATGACCCCACCACTGAGACCGAACAAAGCACCATGAGGTATTTTTGCGATTGGTGCGCGGGATTCGATAAGCAAATGAGAGTGTCTCAGCGAAATACACCATCAGTATCTCATAGAATTGAGAAATAGCCCTGATCGCGGCTAGCGAATCAAAGGGAAAGCATTGCGGCCTAGGACCGCAGTGGCAAGCCTTGCCATGCGGAAGAGAGCCATCTGGGAGTATCATTCTAGGCAAACAAATTTCTTGCTGTGACACTTGCTGCGGTCGCCCTGCATTATCCAGTAAAAGCAGTTACTCGCATGATCGAGTCAGTTAGTGGTGCCAGGGAGTTTCAGCGGACCCCGTCGAGAGTGGGGAGAGAAAGGGGCTGAGCACTCATTTTGGGGGCGTAATTTCCGAGAGAGCAAGGGTCGGGGTGATGAGCTCCGACTGCGCAAATGACCCAGAACCAGCCAAGTTGTGAGGGCAGTAAAGATTGAAGGGAGGAGACTCATTGAGCAACGCACCGACGGTCTTATATAGTCAAGGACAGGTCGCGAAGGCGGAGACGGAAGGCAGTTCCTGTTGCGGGATAGCGCGAGGAGCCATACCTGATCAGGAAAGCGCTAAACCACTGCGGGAAACCGTCGGACGGGCGCTAAACCCGAACGGGGCGGTTGCCGAAAACGGCGGCGTTCTGGTAAATGCCAATTGTACTTTATTTATAATATATAATAGTAATTTAAGTAGTAGAGAAGAAAAATAGATATAAGATAATTATATAATTAAAAAAAAAAAAGAAAATTAATTCTATTATAATAGAATATAGAGATTAAATTAAGATAGATATTTTAGCTTAATTAAATATTCTAAATTCTCTAGATAGAAATAATCTATATATATTTAGTATAGATATAGTATATATAAAGATATAGATTTACTATATTATAGAATTATTTTTCTATAGTAATCTAATTAATAAAGTTATACTTCT